AAGTCAGTAAAAAATCGTCTGCTGTGTTAAAATACTTTGTATTTTAAAATTAAAAAGTTATTTTTATTTTGTAAATTTTCGTCTACGCGTATCTCAAAAATTTCAGAGTAACCCTCGTACTTGCCGAATATTTGTACCTGTAATTTAAAGATAACTATAAGCAATTACTATTATTTTATTCTATTACAATCAATTATTATTCTCATCAATCATTCTTCGCTTAATTATATAACAGTATTAATATTATAATTAAGTTATTGTCCTCATCGGATTTCCTAGAATTTCCATAATTGCATATTAAACCACTAATTAACCCCAGTCTTTAGTTTCTCATAAAATCACTGGCATCGCCGCGTCGTCGTCTTTTCTGTCAAACAGCCAAAATTGTTCTCTCACAAGCTGTTTGGATTGAAGCCGCTGTAGTAATTACATTTTAGCTATTTATTCTTTTACGCCATCCAACAATAAATAAACCCCCCTCTTACTCAAGTAGTGAGTTAATTTTAAAGGAAGGGACCAGTACAATTCTTCACTCTTAAATATAGACATGTTCTGTCATTAGAGTATGTCCTACTTCACTTGAAGTTATTGCAGTCATGACCTACAATATATTAGAGAAAGAACAGCAAAAAAAATGTACTTCATTGTAGTTAACCTTTAACGAAAAAAAAGAATTGTTTATGCGTGAGAGCTTGATCGATGAACTATGCCAAAATGACGTAATATTTTTCGATACTGTTTGAGCTCATAATGACGTCAAGTCTATGTAATAAAAGCGTTTCATTTAAACTATCGGGGAGAGTCGGGTAGCCCCGCCCACTTAAGGAGTATTGCTTATATTTCTGTATAATATTGAGTAATAATCACTATTTTTGTATGTTTTAATTGTTTTATCATCTAATTAAATAATGCAAAAGGAATAAACCAAAAAAAAAGAATAGTTTAACTTAAAAAAATAGAAATTTAAAAAAACATGTTTTTTAGCTCTTTTCAAGATGTTTCGGGTAGCCCCGCCCAGTTACAAAAATTATGTTTTTTGACTGTTTTTTCAGGTGTAAATGAAAATGACCAATGTATTGACAATAGATAAACCTCATTTATCATTTTTATCACAAAATTATTTTATTTATTACATATTTATATACTTTTAGTGAATTTTATCATTTAATAACAATATTTGTTGCTAAAAATGGATATAAGATTCAAATTTGAAGCAATAAAATAATAATCTTTGCAACCGTACATTTATCGACGAAATAAAATTGGGCGGTGATACCCGACATTCATGTGAGCGGGGCTACCCGAAATCCAATTTTTTTGTAAATTTGTAATTACTCGAACAATTTTTCACATATAAACTTCTTTCTTTGTGCAAATTAAACTTAAGACTACATACTTTAATGCTGTATGTATAGAAAAAATAATTTTTGTAGTATTAAAATGAAGTTTAATCGAAACATTCAACCAATTTTTCTTAATTTCATGACTACTGTATTCAAATTTTCAAAACTATTGATTACCATGTTAACAGCTGCATAAATACTTGAAACTTTGAAAAGAAATTTTTTTTAATATAACAATTAATGTCCGATCGCCCATTGACTTGAAAAAATAATCTATACGTATGAAATTGACAGTGGGCGGGGCTACCCGACTCTCCCCTAAATTTAGAATTTTTCGTTAAAAATTAAAGAAATAGAACAAGTTTTAACCTATGAAAGAACATCCAATTTCTATTAAAATCTGTAATAATACTTTTTTATATAATTAAGAAATACTGCGTAACTTAAAATGATATAATTTTTAAAAGAAATTACTTTATTGTAAAACTTACCTGCTATGTGATATCTATTACTTACTTTTTTTTAAAAAAAGAATTTAATACTGTGGTCAACAGCACCCTTTGTGGATCCGCGATGTAGTCTTATGATTTAGTATAAATAAATGACGCCAATATATGATTCCGTTTTTCACAGTACATCAACGTTTTTCGGTACTATTATATATGGAATCTTCATAGATTCAAAGTCAATAAAAAGACGAACCTCATAACTATAAATAAAGCACTCCAATATTTCATACTGTCTCTTAGAATCTTACAATATATAGTGAAGATCCTTTAACGATATTTTTATATGTGAAAACAGAACCATCCTTGCCCTAAGTCAAGCCCTAGTGACAAATTGAAGCTCACCCAGCTTCAGATCGATGTGTACTAGCTAGGTCTGGTAAGAAAAGGCGTGCTGGTCGCAATGTTGGTCACATTTCTACAATCATGTCGTTGGTCCCGAAATTGTGGAACTTAAACAACTATGGCACCCTGGCTCACAACAGGCTGTTGCGGGAATGCTTTACTTTGTATATATAAAACCAAAACATAGAAACGAACTCAATGTAGAAGTGAAACTTTAAATAATTTTTCTTCTTTTTAGCCTCTTATAATTTTCTATAGATTAACCCTTATAATTATTCCCATTCAAAGCAGTTACTTATCATTCTGGAAAGAAAGGAAGCTAACTTAAAATTGAACAAGATTCATTTAGAGGTATTATTTCAAACTTTTCCGTTACTATGACTACCGAACGTTTTTATTCCGTTTATCAAACTTCATATATAATGGTGCTTGATTTTAAGACTTTATTTGATTATCTCTGTTCTTGTTGAAATACCGAGTCTTAAAACTCTTTTCCTACCTTGCTTGATTTGTGCTTTGATGTTTGCTGAAGCTGAGTAAGCTTTAAAAAAAATGAGCAGGAATAAGATTTAATAAACTGAGTTTACTCACTTTTAAATGAGACATTAATGTAGTGTCATTTCATATTTTTTAGACTTCCTTTAAAATTTGACAAGCAGTGTTTAATACTTTCCGCTACAAAGACGCTCGTTTATTTCGCGTCTTTGATTTTAAAAAAAATGATATCTTATAAAGTTCTTTAATATAGAAAGTGTACCGATTACGAGTAATGAATGAACAGAATGAATGAATGACATGAATGAATGAAATGAGGGAAAAAATAAAACGAATTAATGAAACATGAGGAACTAATTAACTGGTACATAAGAGAATCGGCTAATTGTTAAATTTACGAACTAATTTGTAATATTTTTAACGTTTTTTCTCATTTATTATTTTTTTTTACCGATTCAACCGAACAATTAGATTGATGTAGTTGTTGTTTTTTTATGCCAAAATTAAAACATTTACTTCGTTTCTGATCAAAATCAGTTCAATCCATAATATTTTCTTAATATGAAAAATTTAATTTCTTTTAATGACGAAACATTAGAAAACTTTTACTCAATTTCATTTATTTGGGGGACCGGAAAGTAATGTCGTTTCGGTGCATTTGATATTTGTTATCAAGATTTTATTTTTAATCAATAATGTATTCACCCTCGTTAGCAACAACCTTTCAATGCCAGATAGAAAATGAATCGAAAAAATGAACTGGTTTTTAAAACTAACGATACGAATTCCGCGTCCGGCTTGCACCGACCACATTGTTGACGTGAAATATCTACCGTGGTAGACGGATCATGGGTCAGAGTCCCCTTGCCATCAAGCTAACCGTGGGAGGTTCTTGTGGTATTTCTCTCCATGTAACGCAAATGCGGGTTAGTTCCGTCAAAAAGTCCTTCACGAAGGCAAATTTCTTCCAATACTTGATCAAGGAGTTCCCTTGTCTTCCGTATTGAGTTCAAAATTATAAGGCTAAGTAGTTAAGTAGTCACAGTTAAAGTTTAAAGTACATGGTATTTCGTAATTACCGTTCTTGATATATATTTTTAGAATTTTTGTAAAATATGAAGTAATAAAATATTCATATTTTGATTGTTGGAGGTGGCAAGGAAATAAAAGGCGAATATTGGAGACATCACCGAGTTTCATTAGACAATAAAACTGATTTTGATATGGTACAGTGCGCAAAAAAAAAAAGATACCACGCAGAATATCTTTTGTTCTAATGATCGGATTTTCACGAACTATGTATCTATCTTAATGATTTCTGGGGCGACCTCAAATATGCTAAATAATTAGTGCAAACTATTAATCAAGTTACGAAATCTGAAACAAGAACATACTTTCTCTGAAAAAAAAATTTTTTTCTTCATATTTGCATTCCTGATCCTTAAAATAAGAGGGTTAGGCAAAATTTAATGAATTTGATCATAATTTGGGGGAGAAGAAGCTATATACATTTGTCAATAGTCCCAAAAAACGGCCAAGCACTGTCTCTTCTGCAAATGGAGTAAATTAAGGTAACCATAAACTAATTCAAGAGAGCAAGACTTAATTTGTCTCCGTTGCTAAGCAACCAAGTTGGGGGAAAAAGAAAAAAAAAAAAGAATGAAATAAAAACTGAAGATTTTTCAATATTTTTTGATAGCTCGGTGGTGACAGATTTATTAATTAATAGTTTTAGTTATTTTTTATATTTTTTATATCCGTCGTTGAACAGCCGACCCGATTTTTGGGTTTACAACTAGTAATGCTCAACTCCATAGCCTTGTAATTTTGAACCCAATCCAGATGACAAGGGAACTACTCTTGGATCGAGTATTGGGAAAAATTTGTCTTTTTGGAGGACGTTTTGATGGAGCTAACCCGCATTTGCGTTACATGGAGAGGAAGACCACGGGAACCTCACACAATTAGCCTGACGGCAAGGGGACTCTAACCCATGATCCGTCTACCACTAAGGATATTTCACGTCAACACTGTGGTCGGTGCAAGCCGGATGAGGAATTCGTATCGACTGGGATTCGAACCCGGTTCGCCTCATTGGAAAGCGAACGCTCTTTCCCCTGAGCCATCGCGGCTCTAATTTTAGTTATTAGAGAAATATCTGTTTCTAGGCAACAGACATTTTAAGCCGAAATTAAATGGCCCCTGTGTAGAAATATAAAAGCATATAAAGCTAAGTAGGGTGCACACATGTTGTTTTATTATATTCATATTCTGTGAAAATGAAGCATTTGTTTTATTAATATTGATTTAGGATCAAGCACTGCAAATCGCTCAGAGTGTGGGAAGTGCATTTTCAGGATTGTCCCTGCAAACTGACAGACAGACCAACCTTTATAATTCCACAGATTTTCTCGAAAGTACCCAAAACTCTGTCGTGGAGACAAATATCGAAGGTAAGTTCAAAATAAGTATGNTTCCACCAACTCAACCAAACAATTAGCTTGATATCCATGTTTTTTTTTCCATGCCAAAATTATGACATCTAATACAATTTTGATCAAAATCAGTTCAATTCATAATACTTTCCTGATATAAAAAATTTAATTTTTTTAACGACGAAATATTAAAAAAACTTATACTCAAATTCATTTATTTGGATGACAAATATTTTTTAGTTACTCTAATCATACAAAAATAACTTTTTTACAATAATGTTAGCGCTCAGTTTTCATAGTACTCTAACATGGTTCTCTTGTTTCAGAGAGTCGGAAAAAAATTAGAACAAAACTGAAGAGCCTATGAAAATAGGTTGTATTTTTTATGTTGTGTGTGAATCTAAAATTTCGTCCTTTTCATGTGCACTAATTCAAAAAAATATTGTTGGCTGTTCGAAAGATTACAATAGGAAAATAATCTAATACTTTCAAAATAATAGGAAAATGCTGACTTCAACTACCTCTTTAATTTTTAAAATTTATATGTAAGGTATTTTGAATCCAAATTTATGGTTGTCTTTGACTAATTGAAAAATTCCGCTTTTTGCAAACTACCAATGTCATTTTGAAAAGCCCCTATAAGGTTTTTTGCAATAAGCCTAATAAGCCTCAGTTCAGAATAAATGCTTCAAGATTATTAATTCTCTAAATATAAATAATTCAAGTATAACTACTACCAATATATATACAAGATTTAACCTATTACCATTTCGCCATAATGTATTTTTTCGTATTTTACTTTATTTTCACAACAATAAATTAATATGCAAATTAAAAACTAATGTGTCTGAAAGGAGACCAACTGAAATATATGAGATTCCCCACTTTATAAAACAAATTTCACGAAAACAATTTTTTTACTTAGCACCTAAATTATATAATAAATTACCATTCCATTTGCAAAACATCCAAATATATTCTTCCTTTTTTAAGCGTGCTTTATTTCAATTTGTGATGAACATTGACGATTTAGATCTCTATTTTTCCCTTTAAAGGAAGCATTTGATTTTTTATACCAGTCTTGTGCCAATCCAAATGAATTTCTTATGTTACCTTTTGTTATTTTTTTATATAGTTCCATGTATTTTTTTTCTATTATTACAGTGTTCAACAATATGTGATGTCTTATGATGAGCAAAATAATTTATGATTGTAATATCCCCCTCCCTTTTTTTTAAAAAATTTCTATTTTAAATTTATTGTATTACTTTTCTTTGTCGCCTGGGCAGGATTTTCCTCTTGACGACGAATATATATTCTTTGTATTTATGTGTTTGTTTTTGTTCCCAATAAAGTTAGATTAGTTTTTGTTGGGGAAAAAAATGACATCCTCAGTTTTCAAAAAGCTGGATTTTTCCAATTAGCCGAGGACATCCCTATTAGCAGTTACACTAATGCAGAATCGGCAAACCTCGCTCGCACACACTCAATTCGAATACAAGTCACTTTTGAATCGCAGCAATATCACGTTTTGTCCACGAGTCACGGTTTGGCTACCTTTACTCTTATGTAAGAAATATTTAAACAGGAAATGTGACTTCAGTAATCCGAAACAATTTAAGAACTCCTTTATAATTCTTTAGCCACCACTGAAAATGATTTGTTGCGGAAATTATTAGTATGTGTGAAAAAAAAACTTTAAAAATTGGATACCTGCAAATGACGTAGTGTGGGCATCTCGATCCTGATTGGTTGTTGAAACGTAGCTTTGTTTACGTTAGCAACTGTTTTTTCCCGATCTATTGTGAGTAAGCTAAGCAGGCCAAGTATCAATTCTCTTAAGTGTCATATTCTATATACTTTCACAAAGACTTGCACGTAAAACTAATATGTAAACATAAGAAAACTAATTATGAATCGAAGTTGCCATGTACACAAAATAAAAATATGTATATTGGTTACTATGAAATACATAAACAAATAATAAATCTATGTTAAGTAAAATACGTAGACGAAAAAGAATTAAATTTTAACGAATTCCGTATGCGATACGGCATTGTAATTTATTAAATTCACGTTAATTAACACTCTAACTTATGTGGAGAAAATTAGATCGATTTTAACACGCCATTTTTCTTATAAATGATAGCTGGCGCTGACGTCATAGGTCACATGTGTGGATACCCGTGATCTTCTTGAAGCGCAAGCGTGTGAAAAATAAATAAGTAAACATATTTAAAAAAATGTAATTAAATGTGGATAAAGACAATTGTTTAATTCCCAGCAGCACTTAAAAAATTCATCCCACAATATACAATTTTAAATAATTAGAACTGGTGATTTATGTCACAGTTAAAGTTTAAAATACATGGTATTTTGTAATCACCGTTCTTGATATATATTTTTAGATTATTTGTAATTGATGAGATTTGATTCTTTGTAGTTATGATTGTTGAAGGTTACAAGGAAATAAAGGGCGAATATTGGAGACATCACCGAGTTTCATTAGACAATCAAACTGGTTTTGATATGGTACAGTGAGCAAAAAAAAGATATCACGCAGAGTAACTTTCGTTCTAATGATCGGATTTTCACGAACTAAGTGTCAATCTGAATGGTTTCTGGGGTGACCTCAAATATGCTAAATAATTAGTGCTAATTATTAGTCAAGTTACGAAATCTGAAACAAGAACATACTTTCTCTGAATAAACATTTTTTTTTTTTGCATATTTACATTCCTGATCCTTAACATAGGAGGGTTAGGCAAAATTTAAAAAATTTGATCATAATTTTGGGGGCTAAGAAGCTACAAACATACATTTGTAAATAGTCCCAAAAAAACGGCCAAGCACTGTCTCTTCCGAAAACGGACTAAATAAATGTAACCATGAACCAATTCAAGAGAGCAAGACCTAATTTGTCTCAGTTGCTAAGCAACCAAGTTGGGAAAAATAAAAAAAGAATGACATAAAAACAGAAGATTTTTCAGTATTTGTTGATTACTCGGTGGTGACAGATTTATTAATTAATAGTTTTAGTTATTATAGAATTATCTCAGTTTCTAGGCAACAGACATTTTTAGCCAAAATTAAATGGCCCCTGTGTTAAAATATAGAAGCATATAAAGCTAAGTAGGGTGCACACATGTTGTTTTATTATATGTATTCATATTCTGTGAAAATGAAGCATTTGTTTTATTAATATTGATTTAGGATCAAGCACTGCAAATCGCTCAGAGTGTGGGAAGTGCATTTTCAGGATTGTCCCTGCAAACTGACAGACAGACCAACCTTTATAATTCCACAGATTTTCTCGAAAGTACCCAAAACTCTGTCGTGGAGACAAATATCGAAGGTAAGTTCAAAATAAGTATGACATTTACATTTAAGAAGTAGCACCAATTCAAGGATATTACTGTTCACTTAACCCCTTAACCATCGGTTAATTTTCAAAAAACGGTCATAAAAGTGCCTATTTTGCCTGTCATCTAGTTTAAAATAAACTAACTATTTACAATTACCTTAAAAATATCCTGGTACTGCCATCTGGTGTGTAAAGGGAGAAATATAATGTTTTCCGGACAAAAGAAATGAATTAGTTTTATTGTTATTGACGAGTGACAACTTCACTCTCCAGCCGGGAAATTTCACGGGAGCGAGAAATAGAGAGCGAAACCTCACCCCGTCATTTTCACGGGAGCTAGAAGGAAGGGGTTAAACGGTATTTGAGATTCTATGTCAATGTAGTGTTAAGATAACAAGCTACATAACTCATTATTGAAACATTTGACTTATAACTGAACAATTTCTTGATAAAGATCTTTTTTTGATGTAGGGAACAAACAGAAATGAAAAGGAAATTATTGAAAACACCTCCCGCTTTTATTAGGCAAACAAACTGGTTTTAATGTTTTTCATCCCTCCTTCCTTACTAGTAATTCCTTAAGAGCCTTTGTTTCTTTCTCGCTGAAATATATATCTGCAACCAAACCATTAATTTGTATACATTTTTTACTTAATTTGAGTTGATATTTTTTTTAAATTTGACTTCTTTTAATTTTTTTACCTTCTTTTTTAAGTTGTCTTAAAATATACGTTAGGGATACATTTACGCCAAACTCTATATATAGATCAGGGTTCGCAAAATATTGTTTAGGAGCAAAAAACCTATCAAAATTTGTCGAAACATTATCGAGGAAGGCGAGGCCCAAAGCATCAAAACCTGCTTGATAGCAGTTGGAAACAGCGAAGAGATAAAATGCAGTTATTGAAAACGCTTTCAAGTAACATTTAAAAATAAAACTTTACGGATTCTTTTAAATTCCTTTTTGGTTTGAAGTGGATTTTTTTTTTTGCGCACGGAGGCAAAACAGCTTTTTTGATAACTACCTCATTTGCTAAATAGTTTTTTTTCTTCTTTTTTCAAAAATCTAAGTTCAAGGCGAACTATATTAATTTTTGAATTTTTACAACTAAGCAATTTCTTAGTTTATTGATGAAATAAAGAATATACATTTTGATCGTTAATATAAAAACTTCGTTTCTCGTGTTTGACTGAGGAAAAAAATTGTTTTTTCCTGTTTAAAAGAATTTTGATGTGATAGGTTTAAAATTAAAGAATAAACGTAAATTTAAAAACAAAAATTAAGTCAAAGTTTTAAAGCAAAAAAATTTTTTTTTCATAAGTGAAAAAAAAATTCCAGTTTGAAAAAAAATCCCAATTTGAACTTCTACCCAAAATCAATTATAACCAATTAACAGGATGTAACATTTCTTTCATATTTCAATTTTTTCCTCTTTTTTAAATGATTTACTGACAGAGCCATCTGTTGAGGACGATTCACAATAAGTTATTTACTTTTGTATGCCAGATTCAGCCTTTAAGGTTTGCTGATGTAAAATTTACATCACACTTTAATTGTATCAAAGGGCTAAATTTCTTTAATCGAAAAGTTCAATTTTTCATAATATGTTTGCTAAAAATCAACATTCTTATAAATCATCTCAGCTTATAAGGAATCGTCTTTGGGTTAATAACACGTTATAGCGAAAAAGAATTACCTATCTAGATTTCTTTAAAAAAAAAAAAGATTTTATTGCTTAATTGGAAATTGGAGTTGCACAAGATCAAGTTAATTCCATAAAAATTTACTGAGTTATGCAACATTAATGTGGAGATTTTTATGGTAGTGAGAAATGAAAACTATTTTCTCAAAAAAACATTTTTTATAAAGTTAAAAACAAAAATTTCTCACTTACTTTACCTATTTTTTTAATGCTTAATATTATTTTAGTGCTTAATCTTTCAATTTTCCTTTCTTATTTAAACTCTTATTTATTAACCACTTTAAGAGTAAAAATTAGGTATCTCAATTCACATGATCATTTATTTAGTAAACAATTTTTTGATCGAACGATTAAGTACTGGTTTCCGAATTAAATTATGAAACAACTTTTGGATTTATCAATGCTTTTTCTGGCAACAGGAGTTTGTCAACGAAAATTCCATTTCTAAATCATTTTACTTCAAAAGCAACCATTCTAAATAAACCTCTTTTATTTAGTGTTTTTTTTTTTATAAATAAATTTTATTCACAGACTTTTTTTATTGATACATATGAGATATTTTTCAAGAAAAAAAAAGTTCCAATTAAAAATATAACTTCCAATTAAAATAAATGAATCGTCTTTTTTTATTGTTATTTGTTTGTATATGAATATAAAAGAAACATAATTATAAATATATTTAACAGATGAATTTTTTATAGAGTTTCCAGAGAATAATTCATCTTTTCAAAGTAAAAGGAGTCATCTTAGTCCCTTAAAACTTTCTTTTGGTGACCAAGACTTTTTAGAACGAGACTTGATCATGCGCTGCCCAACCATTGAAGTAAGTTTTTTTTCTCAATAGTTTATTTCTTTGGTAACTGAATTAAAAGCAAAAAAAACAGGAGTATGTCTTGCAAGAATCATAGTAAATGTACAGTGCTGCAATTAAAAAAATATATGAAAATAATAAAAGAGCCAACTAATGATCTAACAATCAGATTTTTATCGTATCAATTAAAAATAAAGACAAACCTAAATGGTCCACCAGTTTCTTAATTATTTAAGCTGAAAGAATTGGTTTAGACATAATAGGTTTTACTATGGTGCCAAGTATTAATCAAAATTAATAAAATAAATAGAAATAAAAATATATTAAGATAATTGAGAACAAAATAAATTATATCTTCAATAACTTTTTGAGAGTATAAAAAATAATTTATTTTTAACTGTTACATTTTGGTTATACATAAAAAATGAATAAATAATACTACTATGTGTATTAATAATACTATAATTTCATTCTTTTCTTTTTACTAACTATGGAAGAAATTGAGTTTTTTATTTTGGATAGTAAGCTCAATTTTATTAAATGCATCATAATCGACAAAGAAAAATTATAACAATTTGGAATTGATTGAAGGGCCGTGATAATACCAACAAGATTTCCTAATTACTCCAATGAAGTTTATTGCTTTTTACATCGGCATCATAAACCCATTTTATTGCATATTCTAGCTGTACACTAAATTTTTAGACGAACTAAGTCTCCCCTTTCCTTAAAAAAAAAATGGTGGTTGTTTGTCAAAATATGAGAATTCGAATTCAAACAAAAAAGGTAATTCGAAAGAAAAAAAAAGCAAGAAAACTTTAATTTTTTAAGTAATGTGAATTCAGTGTTAAGAAATTGTAATTGCAGACTCCACGGTAATACGCCACCTGAATCTACTACATACCAATTACGATCGATCCAGAAATATATTTTGTTTTGGGTAACAAAACTAGATTTTCAAAATTAAGAATTTTTTATGTTCTACTGTTATAAGAATTTTTTATGTTCTACTGTTATAAGAATTTTTAATGTTCTAACGGAAATTAATTATTTTCTTGTATTAATTAGAGCATAATTAATAATATTTGGTATTAGTTATTACTTGTATTTTCGCACGAGTAAATTAAGTTGCTTTTTTAAAACGCTCTTGTCAGAGTTAAACATATTTATTCTTTCATTTCAGCCCAATGAGCATACATCTGCACATAATAGCATTCCAACGATAGAACTATTAGAAGAGAAGTACCCCAGCAGTGCCCAGCACCAAATACAACTTCTGAAGTATCAATTGGACCAACAATGTCAGCAGACACGGATGGCACTCTATCAAGTACAACTCTTGACGGACCAAATGGAGGCTGAATGTGCTGCTAGACACAAAGCACAAGTAAATGCTTTAATAGAAGCTACTATACTGTAAGCAAATAGAATAGGAATCTCAAACGATTTTTCGCCTCCATATTTTCGGACACCGCAATAACGGAGAAATCACATGACCTTGTGACTCCTATTCTATTTTCAAACAATATAACATGCATTTCATTAATAAAACTATTGTAAGGAAATTCTTTATAGAAGAATAATATAATAAAGAAAAAAATTAAAATGATGAGCAAAAGATAATAAATTTATGTTTATAGGTTAGTAATTTCTTTAATTTTTTTCTTTAATATTTTTTTTGTGTGTAGAATAGTATGAACTAAGCAAATATTCAGAATTCAACTGTAATATTCATGACTCTTCATTGAACTTTATTAGACAATATTTAGGCGATTGTGCAAACAATGCAATACTCATTAAATGCAATCCTATTACTATTGTGTAAGATTTGATTGTTTTGTATAAGCACTTATCTTTTATGATACACGATGACATTACATAAATGGAATGAAATTAAAGTTTGCTTACTGATTATCTTCCTAAAATCCTCGAATTTTTACCTGCATTTTTTTTTCAAATGGTATGATTATTTTTAATGACATTTATTTTATTATTTTATAAGAGCAATCAGAGTTTCGTTGAGTAATATTTCATATTATTCTATTGATATTAAGTAAAATTAAGTTGATTTAAAGGTCTTACCTTAAATAATGTATACAGTGCGCCACAAAAAAAAATAAATAACAGGGATACACTGAATAATTTTTAATCTGATGCTGCTAATCGGATCTTCATGTTCTAGGACTTAATCTTAACTGTTCGAGAGGGTAACCTCAATTATGCTAATTAATTAGTGTAGACGATATTTTTAAGTTAAGAAATCAGACACAAAAACGTACTTTCCTTAAATAAACATACCTTTTTTTCGACGGATTCAGATTTCTGACCCCCAAATTATAGGGGGTAGCCACAATCTGGGAAATGTCGTCTAGGATGGTACTAAATATACGACTTTTTTAAAGTTCAATTTCTCAGGAACTATTCGATTGATTATGCTCAAATTTTGTATTTTGTCACGTAAAATTACAAACTTTAAAATGATGTGAAAAATTATCTACCTTACAATTCAAAATTTTTTCGAGAATTATATAAAATAATAAATATTTAGTAAAATTCTTTTCTTGTATGGAATTATCTTTGGATAAAAAAATTTTATAATTGTGTGTACAATTCAGCTCCCTTAAAAAGTTCTCGAGATATGGCGAAATACGCAAAAAGCAAAATTAACATTAAGGAGGCCAAACTTTGGATCGCTCTCCTGACCAAACTATATCCCAGATTGCGGCTACTCCATGAACTTCGAGGGTCAGAGATCCGAATCCTTTGAAAAAAAGAGTATGTTTATTCGGAAAAAAGTACGTTTTTGTGTCTGATTTTGTAACTTGAAATATCGTCCACATTAATTATCATATTTGAGGTTACCCCGTCGAACCATTAAGATTGAATCCTAGAACGAGGAAATACGATCATTAGATCAAAAGTTATTCAAGGTGTTTTTTTTTTGGAACACTGTATATATTATTTAAAGTAAGACCTTTTTTACTTAATATCAATAAGATAATATCAGATATTAATTATTCAATAAAACTATGATTGCTCTTATACAATAATAAAATTAATGTATATTTTATTTATTAAAAGTAATAAAACCATTTGGGAAAAAATGCGTCCAAAAATTTGATGATTTTAAAAAGATACATTATTTAATAAGCATAAATAAATAGTTAAATTAGTGGAAAATTGAAGTTATGATGTCTGCGAGTATAATAAGAGTTGTTTTGAAAAAAAAGACTTATTGCCAAACTGCTTTTAATATCATTTATCTGACTAATTACTTTAACTGTAGAAGTACAATTATTCAGTATACAATTTTTTTACAATTTGAAATAATATAGGTTTCTCTTTTTGCAAAATAAACTGTAGGAACAAAATAATCAACTAATGCTCCAGAATCAAGATCTACTGAAGCATATAGAAAAGTTGTTTCAACAAATCGAAGAACTAGAAAAGCATATCCATTTCTTGGAGTTAGATAAGAAATCAAAAATTCCACAATTAGAAACTCAGGTAAGTGATAATATTAATAATTGAACTATATAGTAGAAAATTTTAAGTAAAAATTTTCTTAAATTTAAGAAAAAAGGAAGAAAAAAAAACTTTTTTGCAATGTATAGAAACATTAGGAAGCTGTCTGCTTACAAAATGTTTTTCAGTTAAAGACTACATCGTGTCAATACTAGAGAGAATAAAGAAAAAATAAGCCTCCAGACAACTATAAGTTTTATACTCGAAATTAGATTATTTTCAAAATGTATTTTCCCCATGAAGCTCTTCAATTTGAAATTATTATTTTTTTTTCAGTTATTGATTTAGAAAAGTTAAAAACGTTATTTACTGAATTTATTTTTATTTTTTTATTGTTTACATGAAAGTACTAATATTTTTGTTGTTAATAATTTTTTTTTGATAAAGCCGCGGTTTTAGTAGAAATCAAACCAAACGTCACATGAAGAATGCATACAAGTTAACATTAACGTAACGTACTTATATATTCAGAGAACATGCATGCGTTAAAATAAGAAATTTAAAAAAAAAATTTTAATAAAATTTTTTGAATTAAAAAAATTTGCAGAAAAAAAAAAATCTCAAACTTTCCAACAAGCTATGGATACGTTATAAATCGACTTAGTAGCTACAGCTATATTAACAAAAGTGGTGTCTAAGTATAATAAAGTGGCTACGTGCTACAAAACGACGAGATTACTTAATGAGCCACTTGGTGGGAAACTGTGGATTCAGCGTTTCTATTTCGATAACGGTATAAAATTATAGAAAAAATAAATAACCAAGTTGTTAGGTCATCAATTTTGAACAAAACAAAAAAAAATGTAGATAATATTGCTAAAAACAAAACAGGATAACAGGTTTGCTCATTATTGCCGAAACCGAGGAGTGTTGAAACAATCTATAAAATAAAATAAAAATAATAATTACCATTGGATACTTCTATTTTCAAAGCCTAAGAAAGACTTCAACATCAAAAGAAAGTTACCCTAGTGATAAATATTGTTTTTCTTTCAAAAACCGCTTTGACTAATCACAATATCGGAAATTGCGAATTTCAAAAAAATGTGCATTTTAGGTCATTTGTTTTTAGTATGTACAATAACAGCTGTGTGTGTACTTATAAGCTTTCTAATTTACTTTTTTTATGTATACCGTTTTCTAGGAAATATGTTAACTCTACAGTCTGTGTTACTGGCCTCGTCTTCTAGCACACAGCAGCTTTTAGTAAAGAATCTTTTACGTTATAACAAAATTCAATTTTATACTTGATCCTATTGCTTCATAATTTCTTCGCTATTGTTTCAAATGACTTTTAAAACATAAGCTATTTAATTTTCAGTTAAAAACTATTGTAAACAATCTTTAAAATAACAATACAGCCAATCAATTTACATTTAAGAGATACTAACATACATATGCAATATCAGGCTGGGATAGCCTGTTTAGTAAGTAGGACGTTGGTCTCGCGTCCGTGAGAACGCGAGTTCGAATCCCGAAGGATTCCCGGGTATTAAATGGTGACTGGTATATGTTAAATCTGTCGGGGTCACCAAGTCCTCAAAGTTCCCATAACAAATCAATACCTCTGGCGGAACTGAATTGGAGATTGGTCGCTCTCTGGTTCGGGTCAAAATTACGATCTGTATATGAATGGAGAATGATTGGGTCCTCCCTGTAAAACGGACTGTGACGTGTGTGTGGCTGAAGTCGTATTCTTGGCTATATATAGCGCCACTTAAAAACAATAAACGCACCCTCTGCTTTAAAACTTAGCTTGATTTCCCAAGCAGTCTTGCTGGTATCGCCACGCATTATCAATTGATATTTNTCCGAAAATTTCATTGATTTAAGGTGACCACTTCGAAAGCGGGCAAGAATAGTTTGTTCCTGTCTATTAAAACCTTGGGCCAGGGAGCCTCCAGGTTGAGAATACTGACACCATGGGTATCAGTGTTCTCGACTTGGAGTGTTGGGTAGTAAGTAGTACTATATTTCCTTGTCGAATTTTTTGACTAATTATGAAAATTTATTAACCTTAAAAAGAGAGAGTAAATTGGAGAACTTTATAAGAGGGGCAAAGCTCTTAAAAACAAACCAAATGTTTGTTTCTTATTAGTTACAAACTACAGTAATTATGGCAACAACAAAAAAACTTTTTGTACCACTTGGACATCACCTTATACTTATATTTCCCCCGTCTTTATACGTAAAATGTTTTTAGGAGATAAAGTACGATTCAAAGGAGCTCTGAATAAATAATATACTTGAATTTAAAAATCGAAATATCAACAGAAAATAAATTTAAAAACATTGCTTTCCTTATAACGATTACACTGGGGAACAAATTTTTTGCTACATTTGTAGAAATACTTGATCTTGCCTAATTCAGGTAAAGGGATTTTAAATCTAAGACTAGTTTTCCTTTTAAAAGCTACTGATTTTTTTTAAATGACACTTTTAGTTTATATTTAATCAAAATGAATAAGTTTAAAAACTTTATATATAACAGGGGATCATCTAAATGTTGTGAAAAACTCCTATGGGAGTTAGGGCACATCATCAGGATTAAAATTAAATAGAAACACGTGTCCAGAATAATCGTCGTATGTGGCTTGGTGCACTCCCTTATTATGACATGATTAGAAGCACAGCAAGAAACAGTTCATAGTAGGGAAACGTACGACGATTATTCTTGGTGCATCTTCCTATACAACTTTAATTCTGATGATGCACCCTAACTGCCCTAGAAGTTTGTTGGAACATTTAACCAAACCCTGTTATTTATAACGTTTTTAAACGAGCACATTTCAACAAAAAATCGACACACATTGTCAGTTTTAATAAAAACACTATTGCTTGTGGAGAGAAACCGATTGCAGATTCGAAATACAGCGATACAGAGGTATCTGAAATCAATTATAAAAATTTCATGCAACAGGTAACTTTTGTTTCATATCAAGATTTAATGTTAGACTTGGTTAAAATTCTTTATAAGTATGGGGTTTCCACTAGGACATATTTTCAAAACTTAAATAGTTTTTAAAACATTCAATGTTTGTTTTGTAATTTGAATTTAAAAAAATTATAATTGCAATTTGCAATAGTCACTTTACGTAATAGGCACCACTATCTTTATAACAAAAGTTATAGTTAAGAAGTTATGGGTTATTTTGAGCAATATTGATAGAAACATGTATATAAAACCACAATGGTGCTTTCTACACTAGGGAACGCTACCGGGTAACATACGGGTTACTGTTTCCGGTGTACAACGTGATCATTGCGTTTTAAGTTTCTTGCAAACGTGGCATTTGATTACTTATAACTTTTGTTTACAATGTTAAATGTGCTAACACTAACGTAAGATGGTGCACAGCTTACAACAAGAACAAACAGTAATAAACAAATGGAAGGAGGCCAAATCAGGACTGCCAAAAAAGCGAGTTATTCAAAATCTAGCAACCATGTCACCTTTTTTAACAATATATCTTTGAATAACTAAAACAAATTTTCACTTTAAACTCACCAGAATTACTTAACATTAATATCTTATGAAATACGGCAGATTTGAGCTCAGAAATTATCTAATTTATTTCTATNATTTTTTAAATTTCATTTTGGAGAAGGATTCTAAAAATATACTTTAAGGGTTGTCATTAAATAATACCCAGTATGTTCAAGTAAATAATTTGCTCAATATAAAGAGTTTTTCTACATAATGTATTTCCTTGTTGTTGTTGTTGCACGCCCCCATTGGCAAGCAGTGCTACACCAGGTCTATGACGTTATGCACCCTCAAAAAATCCAACACCGTGAATGGATCATCTGCTAAATCCTGCTTGGTGAGCCCCAGGCACGCGAGGACGTGGTGAGGCGAAGCCTGGTCTGAAGAACAGTTGGTACAAAGTTTTTGGATCCTTCTGAAAATTTCATTAATTTAAGGTGACCACTTCGAAAGCGGGCAAGAATAGTTTGTTCCTATCTATTAAAACCTTGGGCCAGGGAGCTTCCAGTTTTCACTTCAAACTCACCAGAATTACTTAAATGTGCCGTATTTCATAAGATATTAATATTGAGTTCAGAAATTATCTAATTTACTTCTTTTATTGAAAACAAAATTATCCGTTTGAAAATATCGCCTTGCAAAATAAGCTGTAGTAAGCAGTTGTAAACTTTCTAACTGGAATTAGAGTAGGTATTGAGCTCTAGATTATTATTGTTTACCTTTATATTGAAAACAGAATCCATATTAAGTGATAAATTATATAATATTTCAGGTATCTCAACCACGAGCATCTTTCTACATGGGAACTAGACGCCTGAGTGGAGATCAAACTTCAGAGATAAAACCACAAGCAAGTATGGGACAGACACCAGCAAGTAGAAGCTCATTCACCACTACAAAACCACTTCTACCACAAACCAAAGTAACTTCATCCACTATGCAACCAAACACTTTGGCTGCCACTAGAAGATCATCACTGACTTCGCCAAAACCGTTCACAGCTGCTCAAATGAGGAACGACAGCTCAAGCACTCTACATATAGGCGACACAAGCCCACCCGTTCAGAGTGGTCCAACCAGCCCTTTCAGTTCCTCTTGGCGACTGAAAACTCCAGAACCACCAACACGAGAGAAATCGCCAACTGTGCCGGAAAGAACCCGAACCAGCAGCTTTAGTGCTTTAAGCAAACTAAAACCACCTGAAATTAATACAAAAACTTCCTTCTTTAGTGGAAGTAACACTACAAGTGCTATAACAAACAAAAAACACTCCTCGAGTACTTCTGATTTGTATAACTCAAACGTGTTTCATTCTAGTAAGCCGTCATTAGTGTTGGATGATGCATCTTCGAGTGGAAAAAGTGCCATTAGTAGTGTCAGTGCCACTCCTGCAAGCAAACTTCCAAGGTATCAAGCCTACTCTGGATGGCAGAGACGCAGCTCTCTAACAAAAGAATCTGAACAGAACTCTACAGCAGGAAAGGACAAATTAAGACACTTTTAATTTATAAGCCTTATAGTCTAGTCTGATTAAGAAATTAAAGTTTTCTCATATAACTTGATTCTTTTTTGTGCACAAAAAACTTTTATTGAGAACTGATAATATTTATTACATAATTGAAATGAATGAAATTACTTACTGTTCTCAGGAAGAATGCAATATCTCCAATAAGAAGAAAACGGAGATATTGTCTTCTTTCTCAAGGCCAAACATTCTTTGAAATAAATCTATCATAACTAAGTTAAGTGAAATATTTTTTTGGAGGAAAAAAAACAGGTTTAGAATGTATAGAGTTTACAAAACAACTTGACTGAATAGATAAAAGTTCTGAACTTATCCAATTAAACTTTTTCGAACTTTTGCCAATTAAGGTGTTAGATACTGGTAAAACATCAACTCTGCGAAAGTTGAGCTCAATATACAGGGTGTTCCAAAATTATCTTTACATCACCTGGCTTGAAATTGATTACAGACTGGAAGTGCTTAGGGCTACCAATGGTGCGCATGTTGAAGTGTACTAAACAACACTTTATTAGTTGCAGTAATACATGCAAAAGACAGAATATAAATATCTTATTTATTTTTGAAGTTGTAAAGAGAATTTTGGAACACCCTGTATATGCTTTTATTTTATCTTTTCAAACTAAATTACATTCGATGCAAAACATTAAAAATCCACCACAAAAACAAGCAAATACTATGCACAAAAACCATTAAAAATGAGTAAGAATCAAATAAATAGACCCCCAAAATTTTTTGTGTGTATTATATCTTCATAAAGACTGAGCAAAAAAAAAAGGAAGAACGTATAAACTTTAATGCTTATTTACTCAAATTCACTAAAATGTCCCTTAGCCAGTTCTTCCACTAAGATCTTCATATATTACATAAAAATATGTAAAAAAAAATTATTCTTAAAAGTAGAATTTAATAAAAAAAAACTCTTGACTAAAATCAGTTTTTATGTTTTAAAAATGAAGTTATGTACTAACTTAACATTTTAGTCACTGTCAGCATTAGAAAAGCAAATATCAAAGGATCTGTTTGCTATAAAATTAATAAAAAGTCATTAGAGCTTTACACATTGTCCTTCCTTCACTGTACAATAAACTGTAGTAAAATTTCATAGAAATAATAAAATTTAAACACTTAAATCACAAAGAACTTATTCGCTTAGAAATATTTTTTTAAAAAACACATAAAAGCAAATGTATACAGAGTTTGTCTTCTATAACTTAAAATAAACTATAAAAAAAAATTTTTCTTCAAAAATTATTAAAACTCTGGAATGCTGCATGTGGTTAAAATATAATGAAAAATCAAAACACAACAATTGTATTTTTAACTTAGTTACTAGCAGTTATGAAAATACTTTATTTCATATTAATTTAAACTTTAAGTTACATCCCCTAATTCTCCCTAATTTCATATATAAATCAATTAACTAATATAATTTAACCATAACAGGAAACAGTTTTGTAAAAACAAATTATGTTCCAGTCAAAAGAGTTTTAGAAAAACAAAACATTAACTCTCAACTATAACTCCAATTATAAAATTGATTCATAGTTTACCATACTAAATAATTCACAGGGAAAAAGAAACATGAATATAGTAAGATTAAATAAAAAATATTTATTTATAAAATAATCACAGTCCAGCTGCTATATACATATATTTCATTTTATGATGAATTAGAAAGTTTTTTTTTCAATCCATCAAATCAAGATAATAATTTTAATTTATAATTGTACATGAAATTAATCTTGCTACTCCCAGCTTTTCAAAATAGAAGAATATTCTGACATGTTCAAAAAGGTTACATCAATCGACCTACAAACAAATTATTGAATATTAGCTCAATTAAGTAAGTTTTTATGTAAATAGTGTTCAATAAAAATGTCTTAAAAAAAGTAAACAATAAAAACAATGCAGCATAATTCTATTAAACTATGTTTAGTATATTTTATGAATTCATTTTAGTTAATATACATGGCATTTCATGAATGGCACCTTTAATATACATTTTAAAAACACTATGTAAAAAAAATATGCCAAAAAATACACTCATTGGGGGTTACAAATTAATGTTTAACCCTTTCAGTACAAGCACCATATTTAACCGACATCCACTCGATGACTTGTAGGTATGAGTGCCATATTGAATATTTAGCAGACATTCACACAATAATCTGTGTATATGAGTGTCATATTTAACTGTCATCCTCGGAATTGCTGGAATGTACGAACGTCATATTTAACCGGCATCCATATAATGATCTGTGTGTACAAGCATCATATTCAATCGGCATCCATACGATGCCTGTGTGTATGAGCGCCATATTTACCAGGCATCCCTGTGATGACCTATGTGTATGAGCGCCATATTTAGCCGGCATCCATGCAATGACCAATGTGTGTACATGCGCCATTTAACCGGCATCCATCATGCAATGACCTGTGTGTACATGCGCCATTTAACCGGCATCTATTCGATGACCTGTGTGTATGAGTGCCATATTTACCCGGCATCCATGCGATGACCTATATGTACGAGTGCAATATTTAGCCGGTATCCATACAATGACCTGTGTGTACGAGTGTCCTATTTAGCTGGCGCTAGCAGGATGTTTTATAACCGATCCAATCTGCTTCAAATTGTGACGAGTTTATACTTCAATGACCTATATTGGATTAGACCACTAAAAGTATATTAAGAATGTGCTTAATATGCTTTGTAAGTCAACAGCATTTTTATTTATAATCTTGCAAAATATTCCAATATATTGCTATGCAACAATAAGAAAATCCTAACTTCAACTTACTGACATGCAATGCACACTTTCTGGAAGAGTGCACCATACAGTAAGTTCATTTCAGTGGGGCAAACTGGTGTAACAAGATTATTAAGGGAGGAAAAAATGAATTAATTATAAAAAGTTGATGAATTATTTTTGGAAGCGAAATTAGAAACTTGAAAACCTGTTTAATTTCCTGAGGAAATCAAGAAGATATCAAAGGTTGTTAATAAAATTTTCCTTGAATTTCATTTGGCAATAAATAAGCAATTATAGTGAGTTCTGGAAGCTAGAATATTAATTATAAATGTATAGTTAGGATACACACCTAATCATTCAACTTAATACCCTGAATGAAAAACTGTAATGTAATTTTTGATAAGATAAATTTTTGTCCCAAAGCTTTCTACTCTAGCACTTTTGGCTAGGTATAAATTTCAAAATTGATAAATGTGTTAAAAATTTTATGTTTTGTTTATTAATTGTCAAAAATTAATTTTGTTAAAAAAATTTTTTAAAAAAAGACGGTTTTTAAATATAAATATATAACCCTAATGTACATACTTATTCAACTTCCTTTTGGAGAGGATTGTTAAAAATATATATATATTAAGCTTGGTGATTACAAAGCACTTTGTATAGTAAATCATAAATATTAGATAAAATATTTTGCTCACTAGATTACAATGGATAAATAACTTACCTAATCATTATATCACCACAGTATAAGCATTCTGAAGCAACAAGATCATCAAGTTCAGCCTTAAAAAATTAAAAAAAAAAATAAAAAAAAAACATTTATCACATTACGGAAGTTCATATTATAACTGTATTTTTATTAAAGTAAATAAATAAGGAAAACAAAGCTCATTATCATGAGTGTCATCACTGAGCCAGTAAATAACTATTATATTTAAAAATTATGCATAAGGAAAAAATTACATAAAATATTCTCAAAAGAAAATATTATAAAGCCAAATTCCCAGAAGTTTAAAGAGAAAAACTAGATGATAATTGGTTAATGTGTACAAAATGAATAAATATAGCATCTTAAGAAACTGCTTCTCTCCTAATCTCTGTTGTTGTAGTTCATTTATGTCGCACTAGAGCTGCACAATGGGTTATTGGCGACAGTCTGGGAAACATCCCTGAGGATGATCCGAAGACATGCCATCACAATTTTGATCCTCTGCAGAGGGAATGGCTCCCCCGCTTCGGTAGCACGATGTCCTGCACGCGAAGTAGAGCACTTTATGGTAGAACAGTTTAACGAGGACCAATACCGCACACCCTCGGTCCCTAAGCAGACTGTTCCAAGTGGTCACCCACCCGCACACTGACTGCAGCCAGTGATCCCTGACTTCGGTGATCTGCTGGGAACCGTGTTTTAACGATCAGTCCACTGCGGGACCACCTAATCTCTGAATTTAGGTAAAGTTTTGGATTATCCTTTTCACAGTGTTTTTTTATCTTTAATTAAAAGAGATTGGAATTGTTTTAATTGTGTCAATATATGAGTTTCAATTACATGCACAAGTGTGTAGCTTAATTAATACTAATTTCTTAGTTCTGGACTTTTTTTTAAAATGTCATACGATGGAGTTCCCTTAATTCAATTGCAAATAAAAGGAACCAAAAAATAACTCTAAAACAAGTAAATAAGCTTTTGAACACTTAAGGGGAAAAAATGCTGCCCATTTTTTTCATTTTGAAAACAATTTATAACATTTTCACGTACTGTAGTTTTATAATGAGAGATTTAGACTTAGAGGTTGGGCAGCTCTAACAAGCAGGGCACATCAACCAGAGGTCTATTGTACCCAAACCCTAAATCATGATTAGCATGAAAGCCCTATAGCTGAAATAAAATTCAGCAGACACCTTACAGGAACATTTTGCAGTTCCCAGGCATTGACACAATGCTGCACTAAATGCTCAAATCTTTGAGCAGAATAGACCTCACAATCACAGAGTATGTGTCGTGATGTCTCTTCTTTATAATGGAAACTCTTTAATAACTTTCTGTGAACTTATTCTTAACACTTTCATCGACAAAAGCAACAGTAGTTATTTAAAAACTTCAAAAAGAAATTCTTACAGTTAATTTGTCTTTAGTGCTAACTGATGCAGACATTAATGATGCGGAAGATATAGAAGCCGAATCATCTTGTCCTACCAGTGCAGCTAGTTGTCTTTGGAGCTCTGTAATACGGTTCTGTTTTGTTGGGGGTAGATGGGGTTGCACCTAAAATTTTTAAGGAAACAATGTCTAATGAGAAGAAAACAAAGTCCATAATATTTTTTTTATCCTTTTAAAAGAAATAGAAAAAATTATCAGCTATTTGCAACAAAAAGCAGGAGTCTTAATCCTGATTTAATCACACAACAGTATTGTGCTTGCCTGAACATGTGAGCAATTAAAACCATGAAACTTAGAAAATACTTTAAAGCAGTAAATTATTCCAATTAAATCATAGATATGGAAACATAACGAATGCGGGTCCTCTCAAACTTTAAACAGTATGAGAAAGTAATAAAATAATAAATCTGAAAATTAAGAAATTTACAATAAGCATAAGAAATTTAAATGCAATTAATTAAAGATGATCCGTGAAAATAATCCTTTTTCGAAATTTGTAACAGATTACTATACATTTTCTGTAAATATGTGTGAATACAAACAGTTACGAACTGTTTCAAAGGTATATAAGTCTTTTTGCACACGGTTAGGGTTCCATATTACCATCTTCATCGAGATCACGTATTATTTCTGTAGCTTATCTGACCATTTCTTGAATTAACACCACCATAAGTTTCAACATTTTCATCAAGTGATGCATAAACCAGCTGTTTTTAAGCATTTTCCTCTAACTCTAGCAAATCATCATTTTCTTCTTCATCATTGGTATAAGGAATTACTGTTATTGTTTTCCTTTAATATTTAAAATTTTTTCAACAATGGTAAATTTTCTAAACGATGGAAACAGTAATCTGCTAGTTTTAAAAATGATCTAACTGGGTGTTATTAAGATTATAAGCATAACACATGTGAAAGAACTGTTGAAACAAGACCTTACACGTGAGAAAACAATGCGGGAAGGATGGATGAATGGAGATTTGACTGTACTTATAATTGTTTTAATATTTATAAGGAAGTATAAAAACATTGTATAATATAATTTATATCACATAATAAACAAGAATGAATTATTTAATATACACTCACTTCGGAAACCATACAAACAGAGTGAAAAACATGCTTGCAAGGGAAAAGATAAAAGGAACGTCCCATAATGGGATAACCACAGGAGGCACATTTTTCTTGAGCAGTTACCATGTTAAACCTAAGACAAAACATAATTTAAATGTATATTTTACATAGTTTCTAATGTAATATTTTTGCAAACAATAATTTCAATCAGCAGAATTGCAGCTTATATTTCATCATAATACAAAAATCATAAATACAAAAGCATAATACAAAATCATTAATACTGCAATCATAAATACAAAACAATTGTGGAACATTTTTTATTAGTAAAAGGTTACATATAACTTTTTTATTGTCAAGAAAATATTAAAAGCAATTTAAAACGAAGAAAATGCTTTAATATATCCACTTTTACAAATTTTGGGATGTTTTTAACAGGGTGCATAGTCAGATTTTTCATCAAAAATAAGCACCTTTTAAGTACTTTTTAAGAAATCAAAAAATAATTTTAATCACTTTCCAAAAAATAAAAAAATCATAACTAGGATCTGTGCAGCAACAAAAATTTTTTTTTCTATCCTTTTTAAAGTTCTTCATTTATATACATAAAATTAATAAAATTCAAAAACATTTTCAAAACCTTTACATAATCATGATAAAATAACTAGTTTCTGATAAATACTGCAGAGAAAATTATAAAAATCACGAATTTTTCGTAATCGATTTGGCAAAGAAAAAATCTCTTCTTAAAAGATAAAAAATTAAGCACTTTTTACAAACACCAAATAAAAAAAGCACCTTTGAGGGCTTTAAAAAACGTAAATCAAAAATAAGCACCTTTAAGCACTATTTAAAAATGCTATGCACCCTGTTTAACTATACTATCATTTAATTTTCTGCAAACTTAATAAAGTGCCAAATTTAGTCATTATAGTTCAACTTGAATGGAGAAGTTGCACAACTTTATACCTTATTAACTCGGTGATAAAGGGGGAGACTAGATCTGGCTTTTCAAAATAATTTTTCCTCTGTTATTCAGTGGAAAAGTAGAGATACAGCAGGAAAATTTTTAGTACAATTTTGTTCAAAATTGAGATGGTAAGGAGGTAGAAAATTTGAAAAATATTATGTTACACGTCCAATATTATTGCTTATTAAAGAAATTTTTTTAGAGAATTGTATTTACTGTAATAATTTGTGTATTAGTGAAATGAATTATTTTAATGTTTAATTTTTTTAAGTTGTACAAAAGGACAATAGTAATTTTGACAATACCAAGCATAGAAAAATTTGTATTTTCTTACAGATCATTTGAAACACAAACAAACAAAAATCTAATCCTTGGCTATGATCATAAAAAAAAAATTAGCCCGCTCAAAGTAATTACAATTATATAGGAACACTAATCATGATACACAACCATAGTTAATTTTAAAATCTTCAATCGAAATTTGTAATCAAAACTTTCACAATGTGTATTTAGTAAAAATATGTCTATGAAAAAGGTATATATTATATACTTGTTTCGAAATGTTTGAATTTCAGTTCTAATTTCTTGAGTACTTTGAGTTGCAACTTCCATTTCTTCTTTCAGACCTTCAATATGCTGGTTGTAATCATGTAATGACGAACAGATTGCATCCTAAAAATAACAAAAGTTCTGAATTACTATTAAAGGAAAATCTAAAATTGTTATCACCGAAAAATACTAAACTTTTCAGTGACAAAATATAGTTAAAACTTAAACCCTACATAAACTAGCCATTATGCCTCATATGCATATATGGCAATGTTACTTTTAAAAAGTAACGAGTAAAAGTACAAGTATTTTTAAAAAAGTAANGCCTCATATGCACTATTTTTTAAAAACTATTCAACTATTCACTCCCTCTGTATTAGAAACAATTCTTAAAGGGTAAGAAAAGTAATGTTTTTTTAATGAAATTAAAAATATTAAAAAAATCTAGTCAAATACGAAATTTCTGTGACCTAGTGAGAACAGTTTAATATAGTTAAAACTCAAACCAGACATAAACTAGTCATTATGCTCCATGCACTATTTTTTTTAAAAGCTATTCAATTGCTCACTCCCCCTTTATTAGAAACAAATCTTAAAATGTAAAAAAAAGTAATGTTTTTTTCTAAAAAAATAATAAATTAGTCAAAAATGAAATTTCTGTGACTTAGTGAGAACAGCTTATGCTGATAAAACAAATATAGTTTATTTTTAATAAAATAAAAGTTTTAAACTTCTTTTTTGAAATTATGTTGATTCCACTCAATTGAAGTCACAACCACCATAATCTCAGGCAAGCGAGATAGATAAATGTAGTGGAACAAAAAAAATATTTGTCTCATTTCTATTAGAATCCTGATGCTAACTTTGATAGTAAATTTTTATTACAAGATCTTAAATTTGTGACTCAATCTATGGCATGTAAGAGAATATTTTGTGGGAGTCACCTTCTCACTTCTTGAATTAAAAATTTCTCCTTTTATTTGTTCAGAGAATATTACGGGTTATTCAAATATTACAAAAACAGTAAACGGGGGGGAGTTGTTGGGGATTTGCTTATTTTTACTGACTAGGGGAGAGGAGGGGTATGAGCAGTGCTAACATAAGACATTAAAATCCCCTTATTTTCAAAATTTTTTCAAAAATAAAAATATTTAACAAAAAAATTACACTTAGAAAAACTTCAAATGTGGAATAAAATTTGAACTTTGGAAAAGAAAATTCGGAAATTTTTTTTGTTGCCTATTTCAGGGGTTAACAGTTTTAAATACAAAAGGATTTATAAAGAATATTATACTCATAAATATTATGAAATAAATTAATATGTATACATCAACGTACACTAAAAGGTTTATAAAATAAACTAGGCAGTGGGAATAACAATTAACGTACTTAAGCCTGAGAGGGGAATTGTGATTTTTTTTTTTCATAAAGGGGGAGGCTGATATTATGAAAAATATGCTTACTTAATATTTGAATGACCCCTTATAGTTGTTATAAAATACATGATTGTTTTTTCGATTGTTTATGCATGTGTTATAGTTAACACAAATATTTTATTTATGACTTCATTTCAAATTATTTTAGAGGTAGAATAAAATAAACTTTTGAAAACTATGTGTTCAATCAGTAATTCTCCAATCCCATAGCTTTAATAATTAGGTTTTTATAATTATATTTTATAATTAACTTTAATATTTATAGCTCAGGCAAAACCAACAGGTAATTGTAAATGAATTTAGTTAGATGGCTGTAGAATATTTAAGCATTCTGCACATATTACTGAGAAACTGGACGTCATTAATACGGTCAAACCTTGTTAAATGACCACCTCCAAACTGAATCAAATAACGAAAAACAATTTAAACACAATCTTCTAATGATCAACATTTGCACAAATGAGGACCAAATAATTAAAAACAAAATATTTCCCAAAATGGGTACATACTTTAAAGTGATCGATGGTGACAAAATCTGGAAAAAATGGTAGGATGTCTTCAATTTTGATAAGATCACATTCTTGCAATACTTCCATAGCTCTTTTAATGTCATTCTTTTCTTTTACAACATGCTTGGCTAAAGTTTAAAACAGAAAGAAAAAGTAAAATTATCACAAAATCTGTTAGTTAGAATCAAGAAAGACACAATACACTAGAAATATACTATATGTGCAAAGGCGGAAATAGCAAAAGAAAATTACATAAGAAAATAAATAACTAATGCAAAAGAAAATAAATGTTACAAAATTAGTGCAAACAAATAGTAGTAGATAAAATCAGCTATACACAGCAACTTCAACTAATGCATTACCACAGGAAAAGCATAATAGATTTGGTCAACAATTAATTTTTAGAACAGTTTGATTATGATAATTTTCTTTAAACTATTATATGAGGAAGATTTAAAAGTTTGGTTTAAGTATATACTAAAAAAAACTCTTCAACGTCTATTAGCTAACTAAAATGCATAAAATTACTGTTATACATATTAAAATAATGAAATTCATATCTTTGAAAGGTTTCAGCACTATTTAGGGTTCCTGAAATTTATTTTAGATATCTAAAACAAAGCCAAATATTTTATTACCAATTTTTAACCATAGTTTCTTGCGCAAGTCATCATTATCTTCAGGACGATCAGCATTTTGTTTTCCCAACTCTACATCAACCTACAATTAACCAATATTCATAAAAACAAAGTAAAATACATAGAAAGAGATATACATATATGAAATGTATTCAGAAATGCACTCACTTTCAGGGCCAAATCCACAGCTTCTTCATACAATCCCATAGTTGTATAAATGTGCACACAAGCTTTCTCCAAACCAGTAAGCTCTGAACAAATTCTCAATGCATATTTTTGATCATAAGGAACATCCGATTCATCCTATAAATACATTCAAGTATTTAAAATAAGGGTTTGTTTACTGAGAGAAGGAACTTTACCAGTAGAACTCTAATTCGATTGCTTCTAATATTCTGAATTTATGAAACTGTTTTTTACTTCTAACTATTTGTGGTTTTAGGTTAAAAGAAGTTCATGTTCCCTAAAATATTCTATTTAAATTAAATCAAGATTTCAAGTCCATAAACTTACCGAAAATCTAAGTTTCCACGGTGAGGAGTAATTCTAAAATATGAAAAGCTCCATACCGATTTTTCCCAAGGCCCCACAAAGTCTAAAAAAAAGCTCTGCCCCTCACTATGAAAATGTAACTGATTCAAGAGTTTTCAAAGTAGCAATCTTTGTTGAAAAATCTGCTTAGGTGTTTCTTAGAAATTTATTTAACGGGTAAATGAAAATATATCTGAACACATGATCAATTTACTTGAAAGAAATTTTTAAGTCAATTTTTTCAGAAGTGAAAAATATTAAGGTATAGCCTAAGTAACTGGAAATTTATTGAGCAGTTGCCAGCTTACTGTTATGTATATATCACTTACAGTCTAATTGCAAATAGGTCAATATAATTTAGCAAACCAGTCTTGTAATTATTTTATGCATATATCAAATCGTTTTAGGAATTTTATTTTATTGAATTTCCTTTTAACAATCAGAGTGTTAGTCCTTTCTTTTTCCAAATTTTCAAGAACACGCTTTCATGCATCAAAAAATCAATTTCTGAATGTTATCGATTTGAAAAATAGTGAATATCAGGAAAATGTCTGTACAATTTTACCCAGGAGCTCAATGCTCAGAAGGTAAAATTTGTTACATTTTTGAAAATAAAGTATTTCCAGGATTATTTTCTTAAAAATATTTTAAGTTGGAAATTTGAGAGCTGAGAAATTGAAAATATAAGGAAAAAAATCAAGTTTATGATATTCACCTAAAATCTAGAACTAGGACCTTCTCATCTCCAAGTATTGACCAAAGCAATATTTTTATGTATAGACTAAATTTTTATTTTAATTTCTCTCTGGAAAATGAGAAATTTGATACGCATTTTCACTAATACAAATTTTTTTATAAAATGTTCTCTAAACACAACACTATTTTTTAAAAAAAAAAAACATCTAACATCAAAAAAATAAGCATTGAGTTGAACTTCAAAATAATAATTTTCATAGTCGCCACACTTAAATAATATATTATACATAAAATCATTGTCACTTTATATATAGCATCATTATTAAAATCATTATACTTCTTCTTAGACACTATGGCTGGTTACCGTCCAAAGCTGCCTTGTTTAGTTTACCTCATCCAGATCTATTTGATGATATATTTCTCGATATATTAACTCCCACATCCTTTAACCACTTCTCCTATTTATCTAGCCATCTTGTTTTAGGTCATCCTCTTTTTCTTTTTCCCTCTGGTATTTTTTTAACAAGATTTTCAAAACTACATTAAAATACACGTCCTAGCCACCTTATTCGAGAAAGCTTGATCATTTTTACCATGTTACATGGAATATATGATCACGTTTTAGTAGTGGAGCATTGAAAAATCAGATGGGGGAAGTAGGCAGATATAGAATTGAAAATCATTATATCACATTCTATACTCTGTTGCAAGTTAAGAAAAGACCATTGTGGTACAGGATTCAAATAATCATCTGCGACTGCATATAGTTCCATTTTATTTTGTTATCAAATTATAAAAATATGCTTTCAAAAAAATATAAAAGATTTAAAAAGTCAAACCCGTCAGGCAGATATTTAATTCATGCTATCTTTTACCATATAAATTATAGAATTATTAGAAAAAAAGGTACAGCTTCTTAGTCTTACTTCGAACCCTAAACTTGTCGACACATTTCAATAAATAAGGAGAACATTCGTTCTTGAAAAGAAACAACTATGTGACGTTACAAGAGCAATGACTTTGATTGGACCACTGAAAATTATGCGTCTTATGCTGACTTGCTCTTGACAAATAAGATGTGAAATAAAGAATTCTGACTTTTGTTTTGCAGTAGAAGAAAATCATCTGCAAGAAACGGTATTTATTATTCCTTCATTAGTTTCTTTAAATGCGAACAGAAAGTATTATTTAAATATGACACAACTCTCTAATTTTATTGGGAACAAACAATAGCTCTTATTCAATAACTTTTGCTTCCTCATTTCATATGATTAAAAAAAGCAAGCAACAACCAAAAAAAAAAGGCTGTGCAATGTCTTTTTAAGAGTTTTTGATGTTGATATATGTTTGCGCTGGGAGCTTGATATCCATTTGTTGTGCACTTAGATGCAAATAGGGGATAATAGTTTTTTCTTAACTTGTTACAAAGTAAAATCAAAACCATATTGTTTTACCTGTTGCTGCAAATATGTCATAAGCTTTTCAGTTTCTTGTAGACGGGCATATAATGTTAATAGATAATTATGAATAGCTTGATCTCTGACTCCCATTTTATCAACACAATATTCAAGGTATCTTATAGCTTCATTACCCTGAAAAAAACATATTAAGCAGAATATTATTATTTATGGTGCCAAATGCATCACTATTTAAAAAAGAATGTCTGCAAAATTTATGCAAGATTTAGATATTGCACTATTATGAATAAAATTTTTACAACAGAAAGAATAAGATAGCTGGACAACTGACAGTTTAATGTTAAAATATAAAAGGAATACTACATGAATGAAGAATATGTTTTCGTTGTCGAGTCATTCCCCAGTGACATTATGTCAATGAAACTCAACTACATGTATGCAAAATATTTACTGAAAATTACAATAAAATGACATGTGTTACATTTTCAATTTTTTAACTGAAGTGATTGCAATATTCTTATTAAACTTTACTTTTGAGAGAGTGGTAACTTTGTTGATGTTCCATAAAAAATAAATATATTGTTTTGTTGTGTTTTTTTTTTAATTGCTTAATTCTTTTAGCTAAGAATATCTACTTTATCAAGGAGAATCTGAGATAAAGATAAAGTGAGTAGCACCAGCAATATTTTGAATTAGATAGCGCACTTTTATTTTATTTGTCATTAGTTAACAATTGTTTTTGATAGTATGTTAAAGCATGAATATGCACAAAAACTCTGAGTTCATTTATCCCACATGCTTTTCTAACATAATCCTATAATGCATACTTTATATATTCATAAAACAATTCAAATTTAACCTGTTGTTATTCTTTTGCTTTAAATATTAATTTCATAGAGAGCAAAAAAATTAAATGATACCCATACAGGAGAGTTGAATAAATATTAATTACTACGAAAAAATTTGTTTCTTAGCTTACAAATTTATTTAGTTTAGATATAAAAGCTATAGAGCTAAAATTTTATATAAATAAAAATAAATATCAGTTAAAAAAACTAACAATTCTAATAGTTCTTCTGTCTTCTATTAAAGCATGGGAAAATTCTTCAATTATATTTCTTAAAAATAATGCTACTTAAACTGCTTTATTTAGCCAGCCATGATTTTCTTTGGTGAGAATAAAGAATCATGAATTAGTGAGAATAAAGAATTAGCATAATCAAAATTATACTAAATTTTTTGGAGTATAATCGGAGTTATCGACCATGCCAACCTTCATCTATCAAAAGGTACCTCGTGATTGAATCAAGTTAGCATGTCCTATATACCAGTGAATTGATGCTTAATATTCGTATTGGTAGTTACGCCACAAAAAAAATCAGTACCCCCCACCAGAATTTTATCAGAGATAGAATTCAATGAACGGTTTCCTTTTAGTTGCTGTACTTGTGAAAGACCGAGAGAGCTGGAATTAAGATGACTGGGTTTTTTTAGTGCTGAATGTGAGAGGTGTATTAACTTCACAGACGTGGACGCTCCTGTGTTGCCTTTAGCAGACGTTGTGTGTATGTTTGAGACGAGACTGAGCAGCAACAGAGTGAGGAGGTGGATGATGCCGCTATCACAAGTAGCAAGTCAACTGTTCAGTGTGGATCATACATCGAAGTAGGAGTTACTGTTAAGATTTTTGCGAAGTGGGCGTTACTGCGTGTACAAATCACGTCCGGGTCACCAATGTGGCGGCGGAGTTATCGACCATGCCAACCTTCATCTATCAAAAGGTACCTCATGATTGAGTCAAGTTAGCATGTCTTACATACCAGTGAATTGATGTTTAATATTCGTAGTGGTAGTTACGCCACAAAAGTATTATTTTAGATGCACACAGTAAGTTTTATCAATCTGCAGTTAAAATACACCAGAAATAAGAAAATAAGTTTAAAATTATCCTACCAATCTGGGATCATTATTGCTATCAAACTGGACTAAAGCAGGAATCAATTGAACAGGGTTTAATCGACGATCTTGGGCAATCCAAGCATCAACAGTTTCTTTTGGATTAGTTTGCATCAATGCAGGCGAAAACATGTAAAACAACTCAGGACGGCTCTGTAGATCATCAAGATTTTAATAAATAGAAATTCAATTTAACAGCAAATAAGATAATAATATTTATATACAAAAGAAAATAAAGGCACAGCATTTTCAGGTTTGTCATTTTATATAAATAGCAATGAGGGAAAAGTAGTGAATATATGAAAAAAAAATTAAGGTAAGGAAAAATAAACAAAAAAAAAATAATTCCCATTTATAAATGAACATATTGAGATAAAAATAAACAAAAACTTGATGGCATTAATTGAATAAAGAACATTTTTAATAAGAAAAGAACTAATGCTTAAATCTAAAAAAAAATCTTTTTTTTCTCAGCCAAGGAAACAAGTCATAGAAAGTTACTTTTTTGTTTAAATAATAATTTCAACCATAATATGAACACTTAAAGATAATTATACATTTGAAGAGATAATGATCAGGAAAAAAGAGTCAGAGTTCTGTTTTAGGATATGATAAATTTTAAAAAAATTTTCAATCAACAAAGTAAGCCTCATCTATAAGAAAAAGAAAACATATTTAATTTATTTGAAGGTTTTATTTTATCCTAAATTTTTCAAATAATATGCAAAAAAAAATTTTTTTTTAAAACAATACACAGGTTGATTTTTTATAAAGATGCACAGTATTTTTTGCTTATTTCATTTTTTTTACAATATTACCTTTTACAGGATTTTTAGCATTTTAATAAAAATATCTTTTTTATAAAATTGAAAAGCAATAAGTATTTTATATTACACTTTTTTATGCCTTAAAACATAAGAAACAGAACACTGATTAAACACTAATGACTTTCAATTAATAACACAAAATAAGTTTATTGCAGTATTTTAATAATTATAATACAAATTACCTAATAAGTTTCTAAAATATAAAAATCAGTATCTCATAAGAAAATGCTATATAATGTTAGAAAAGATGTTAAGAAAATGTTAGAATATTATATGTATATATTTCAAGATGAAATGTTTTAACAAAATTTAATAAAGTTAACTGTTCACTCACATGTTCTGTTAGGACCAGTAAAGCAGCTCGATAGTTTTTATGTTGTAAGTGATAAAGTATAACTTTTTCAAAATCTATAGATAAAAGAAAATATAACTAATTTTCATCATCATATCAAAATGCAGTATTAATATCGATATGCAATAGATTGAAATTTTAATCATACCCTTCATGAGATTTGTGAAATATATCAGGTTTTCTTCATCTCCATGATTAGACATTAAATTATACACAGCACTTCTATTGTTGGAAATGCATTCCTAAAAACACACATTTATATTGTACTCAGGATACCGATTATTTGGACATTATATATTAAAAAGAGTGCTTAACAAGTAAATGATTTTTATATGTTAAAGCTATTTAAAAAAAATACCATGGGTAAAACTATAAAAATTGATAAAAAGTATGCTTTGGCTTTAATTACTCAAAGTTACATAATTTTGTTTTTTTTTCCCTTCTTTTTTTAATTAATAGTATAGTCTAACACGATGAGATGAGTTCCTGACCTCTTAAGTTACCTTTCCGTTAGGTAACTTAAGAGGTACTTTCATTTATGTTGCACTAGTGCTACACAATGGGCTATTGGCAATGGTCTGGGAAACATCCTAGAGGATGATTCGGAGACAACATACATACATCACATTTCGTTTTACAGGGAGCACACATTCATACATCCATTCATTCATCCATAGATCATAATTTTGACCTAAACCAGAGAGCGATCAATCTCCTATCCAGTACCCCCAGAGGTTTTGATTTGTTACAAAATCTTGGAGGACTTAGTGACACTGATAGATTTAGCNCGGTTTCCCGGTTATCTGGATACCGGATAAATGGTTCTCTACTGTATTAAAAAGAGTGCTTAACAAGTAAATGATTTTTATATGTTAAAATATTTAAAAAAAAATACCATGGGTAAAACTATAAAAATTTATAAAAAGTATGCTTTGGCTTTAATTACTCAAAGTTATATAATTTTGTTTTTTGTTTTTTTTCCCTTCTTTTTTTTAATTAACAGTATAGTCTAACACGATGAGATGAGTTCCTGACCTCTTAATTTACCTTTCCGTTAGGTAACTTAAGAGGTTCTTTCATTTATGTTGCACTAGAGCTACACAATGGGCTATTGGCAATGGTCTGGGAAACATCCCAGAGGATGATTCGGAGACAACATACATGCATCACATTTCGTTTTACAGGGAGCACACATTCATACATCCATTCATTCATCCATAGATCAGAATTTTGACCTAAATCAGAGAGCGATCAATCTCCTATCCAGTACCCCCAGAGGTATTGATTTGTTACAAAATCTTGGAGGACTTAGTGACACTGATAGATTCAGCGTGCACTACAACATTTTGTACACGGGGAGTTTTCTTCCAACGAGTATCAAGCTCACAACCTCTAATATAGGCACAATCTCCTACAGGCCAGGCTATCCTGGCTGCAAAAAAGAACAAAGAAAACTATACATTATAAGATTGAAATCAGTTATAATTAAGAATAAGTACATCAAAATTTATTTGGGTATTTGTTTTGATATTATTATACTTTTCTCTCGAAGTTAATTTTATGATAAAAAAAGTCATGGTCCAAAAATATTTAAGGTAAAACACATGTTAAATATGTATTTAAGGTGAGAAGCACCGCATTGTTTTTAATTTGCAGTTAGGAGTTGGTAATGTAGACAGCATATCAGCACCTTAACATTACCTATATTAGCATCCTTTTCACTTCGTGAATCAAAAATGCATCTTTTTAATTAAATTACAATACAATGATAAGAAAATGAGATTGGAAAAAATATTAACTTTAATTTTAGGCTCTTTCATTAGCTTGCGAAATTCTTGTTGAAGATTAACAAATTCCTGAGAGCTCTTTCTTCCAGATGTACGCAAAACACCAAGCTCATTCAGATATATTTCCATCAACCACATAACAATCATTGTGATTTGAGTTTTATCTTGAAGTTTAAGTCCATCTAATTTTTTCAGCAGGAATTTTCTCAGTGCTCCATCCTGTCTTGCTTCCAGAAATTTTAAAGCAATTTCTTCAAATGAGGTGTGAGTTTGAGCATAAATAACAGCACTTTCTTCAAAACTAAGAGAAAAAATAAAGTATCAAATATATTAAAATGAGGTCAAATAAAATAATTCAATAAAACTATGGAAATATTAAGTTTTAATTGTTTTCTGAATTTATTTTCAGAATTTAATCTGTAATGCAGAATAATGTTAAAATTACTTAGCATGTTAAATTTACTTTTAACATGCTAAAAATTGTTTCAAGTATTTGTGTACATAACATTCCAAACACTAGAAAACGAGATTAAACATTTTCTTAAATAATATGTCACTGGTTTTAAAATGCAGCTTAACATAAATCCAATACGATATTAATGTCATCTATATTCAAAAAGACATTTCAAAAAGCTTTAAATTATTGCTTAATTTTGTTCTAAAACTATTGTTAATGGTATAAAAAAATCAGTAACATTTAACAATTTTCATAGAAATTTGCTTGAGTATTGACTTGTTATTTTAAAATGGTTTAAATATAAATAATACATAAAAATTACCATTTTTTCTTGAACAAATCATCTGCCTGCTTTGACAAGACTTTATCAATTTTAATAGGATCATTCTAAAAAAAAAAAATATACAGCTAATTTACTATCACATTCTTATTTTCCTTTGTTTCCTTATTTTGCATACACAGTAAATTAATTAACTAAAATCGATCAAGATCATTATGGAACATCTTAATTGGCTTTTTATTCCTAAATTTATATGATCAGTATAAAATAATAAAATATTGCTAACACTACTATCATTAATAACATATTTTTAGCTCATTTTTAACTACTTTATTCATAATTTACTGTTAGATACATTTTTAAAAAATTAAGGTTACTTGAACAAAAAAAAAGTCATTTGACTTAAAGTTACAACTGTTTGCTTATCAATATATTCCATTAAGAGCTAATTAAAATAAGATATAGAAAATTACTTAAAATGCATGTTTAATTATTTATCAATACACTATTATTAAATATTTTCAAAAACATTAAAACAGTGTTTCTTTTTCCATTCAATGGAGTTTTGGGAAAAACAGAGAAATCATAAAAACCATAAATAGAAAATTGTTTAGTTTTAAAAAATTTGAAACATCAGAAGAAAACTTGTTAAAAAAAAATTGTTAGTTTACTGTGTTTATAATTAGGGATGAGTTTTGTAAAAAAAAAATGGATATCAAAAATGATATGGTGAAGAAAAAAAAACAGTTCATATACCCGAAATTTCAACAAGAAAAAAGCATGCATATATCGATAGTATATTATAAATGTTTTAATGAAAAAATATTGATGTACGATTTTTTTAATAAAAAAAAATTTGTGCACATAAGAACCTCATTGTGTAATTTTTAAATCATGTGGATAAGAATCCCGATGTGAGATTTATAACTCAGGTTAATATGAATCATGATGTGCAATTAAAAATTGTGTGGATATAGATCACAATGTGTAAAAAATGCGTGAATATAGATCGCAATGTGCAATTTTAAATTGAGCGAATACGAATGGTGTGTAATTTTAAATTTCGTGAATACGATTCACTATGTGCAATTTTAAATTGCATGAGAGTAATTTTAAATCATATATGCGTAGGTAAGAAAAAGCATAAAAAATATAATTTTTTTTTCAGCAGAGCTTTTTTTAAAAACGAAGAAATTTTTGTTTAATGAAATTGAGGGGGAAAACAGTAGAATAATGTCAAAAAGTGAAAAAACTCATCCCTGTTATATGAATATATTAATCCTATAAAACTGATATTAAGAGAACCAAAAATTTTATTTAGATGTAATATCAAATCGATTTTCAAAATTTTGATATTATTTATAAGTGATATTTTAGAGAATTTAAGTAAATAAGCTTTAGAGTTTATGCATTGGTAGTAAGAAATTATGACTTTCTTGCCCTCATTTCTTTTTTTCTTGTAATTGGCAAAAAATTATAAATCCTAAACGCTTATTTAAGCTGTTCAATATTTTCGCATTACTATTGGCGTTTTAATTTGCTACAAAAGACATATTTTCTAAGGTTACTATTTTAATGCCAAAAGCACTTAGATGCTTCTGTCTTTCTAAAAACGCTCAGAGACTGTCTCTTGAATCTTTCACTAAGATCTTTAGAATTAAAAGATTTATCAAAACAAAAGAATGTTGTATGGTTTAAATAAGACTAAAACAAGAACTTTTCTCAATAAATCTATTTTTTTTTTCAAAAATATCACTTATACTCTGCGTTTATTCAAGTCTTCAGTTATCATTAAAGACTATCAATCACTAAAAACACATTAATCAAACAAATAATATTACCTTGCAATACTTCCTAGCTAATTCATATTCATCCTTATCTAAATAAACTTCCCAAACATATCTAAAACAAAGAAAAAAATAATAATAACATCCATAATTACAATTTCAACTTGAATTAGTACTCATGATAGATTACCTCTCTTCTCTGAAAATCCTGTATCTATAAATACCCATTTCTGAAAAGGCCCAAATGGTTCCTTTTTCTGGATCTTTAACGATTCCCTTCAGAGAGCCATAAGTCTATAGGTGAAAAAAATATCTAAATAAACTAAAATTCATGAATAATAAACCAGTGGTCAGCAACCTACGACCTTTGGGTCACCTGATGATTATATTTATGGCATAATTGATAATTCCATTAGTATAATCTTTTCATTTTCTGTAAAGATAATGTGTAATTCAAAATAGTAGTGACTAAATAGAGACTGAAATTTAGCCTTTTGATTTTGCTGACCACTGGTTTAATTTTGCAAGTTTCAAAGAAATTATTTAAACCATTATTTCTTTAGATGTTCCCACACAACAAACATATAACATTTAGAAGGAAGAGCGGCATGACACCCTTAATTGCTATCCTAAGTTGCTGTGACTTATTGTCTAAAAGTTAGTGAATTATAAATTACTTTACACTGATAGTAAAAAAGACTATGTTGCACAAATGTGCAGAAATTGTTAGGATGTTCCAGAAGCATACAATAGGTTAAAATAAGGCATTCATAATCTATTTAACTTTCCTTTCAAAAGATATAACAAATTTATCAATCATGCTTTTCTTGTTTAAGTAATGCATTCACTCTTTGGATGAAATGTCAGTTCTCTAGTGTGGTTTATTTTCAAGTTAAAACATGTGATCTTTGCAGTTATCTTGACATAGGTTATTTATTAAAAATGGCAGCCCCAAAATAGCATAACATTTTTGAGCAATTTTTCACAAATGAAGTATTATGTTAAAGGTAACTTTTAGGTGCAAATTAATAATATTGAAAAAAAATTGCTTTATGACCATTTTTCTGTTGCTTAGCAAATTCTTTTTAAAGAAAGCATCACCTAGTTAAAATTAGTCAAGAATTTTTTTAGCTATAAGTTAACACTCACAGAATTTTACCCATGCTATAACGTTCGTTTTGGCCCAAACTTTGAGGGTCATTATAGTGATCATTAATTGGAAATCAAAAACTAATAAAATATATATTACATTATTGATAAGCAAAAGAGGTTATTGCAACACCATGAAAAATCAATATACCTAGCATGAATTCATTAAATTACATTACCAATCTTCATAAATCTCTTTTGAAAGAGTAAAATTTGCATCAAAAACTTTTCAAAATATTTGTCTTCCAATTTTTAGACTTAGCAATTATCTAAATGAATGTTATTTAACAAAAACAGTTTCTCACAGCATATTATATTTAACATTTTGAGTTATTCTCATTTATTTTGTTCATTTTCTTATTTTTTTTTTAAAGTAGTATAAGAGTTTAGCAAAATTATTCTAGAACTCCTTAGTTATGACTCCTTAGTCACACTATTTTTGCACATTCATGATATTCCAATATTATAGTTTTCTATCCTTACAGGGACAACAGAAGTTGTTATAATGACATATAGAATAAAATATATATTACTTCAGAAAAAAAATCTTCAAACACCAACTGTTGATTCAATACACTTATGACTTTTAATCTGTAAGCAAAAATAGATATGGTTAAAAAAATTGAAGCTGCATAATAACAAACACTTAATATTGAAAACTAATCAGATAATTTAAAAGCATGATATTTGTGTTGATTAAGAATTTAATTGCAGCATACATCAAAACTTTTAATAAAACTTTTAAACAAAAGAATAAGATAGGCAAGATTATTGTATGACATTTTATAATTACCAAAAGAAAAATAATTTCAAAAAGTGAGCAAGCGAAAAGAAATTATATGTAAGTAAAAAAAGAAATAAATGTATGTATTTCAAGACGAACGTCTAGTCAACTGCACATCTTCCCTGTTTCAGCTTAGACATTACAAAAGTGTCTGTGCTTTTCATATACTAAGATGAAATTATACGCTTTTTTGTTATCATAGTTAAAATCATAGAAATTACTAAAAAAGCCATATTGACATTCCCAAAAATTAAATGCTTACATCTTATGCAAATTTTATTTGCAATAAAAAATAAATCATTAAATGTATGAAATGTATTTAATGATTTAAATATATTTCACATATTTAATGATTTAAGCTAATTACAATCTTAGAATATCTAAAGAAAACAATTCAAAATAGAATCTTACCTATCATGAAAAAGAACAAGAACATGAAACTCTGTTAAAATAATCGACAATGGCACTCTATTCCCACTTTTCTCTTCAGGATAACTATTTTATAGTTAATTTATTAAATACACCAGATTTTTTTTTAAAAAGAAAAACAATGCATTGGCAACAGACTTTGCTAACTAGAAATTAAATTTATATAAATTTTCATACAGACCATATTTACATAACACTTTCAGTTGGAATCTTAAAACTTCAAGAAATAAATGTCATAAATCTCTTTTAAAAAAATTTAAATAAAACCATAATAATAAGACTCATAAAAATTTTCAAAAGGATACTGCAGCAGTTTTCTTTTTACAATCAGATTCTTTGGAGAATCAGCAGCATAATTTATATCACCATATACTATGCCAGGTTCTAAAGAAAAAATAAAATTGTAACAAATTATTAAACTTTTGAGCCTAGGGATGGCTTTCATTGAAAGTTTTTCTTATCCTCCAGAATATGCAAAGAATATTGAGAGGGGAATCACAGACAAATTATTTGAATAAAAAACAACTTATCTTAATTTCAAACTATTATAAGTGACATTTCAATTCTTATGGTTTAATTTCCACTTTAAATACAAACAACCTTGACAAATTTCAAAAGCAAATCTTGTAGTGGGAAAAGAAAAAACAAGGCAATTATTTAAAAAAAAGAAGAAGAAAAAAGAAGAAAAAACTCATCTTGTAAAACAGTATATACAAACCAAACTACTTTCAAAAAGAGCAAATGAAAAACTAAAGAAAAGAAAAAGTATAATTCGTTGAATTCAAAATAAATTAGAGGTAGATTTATTGTAAAAAAATAATAAAATATACTATTTTCAATTCCAGAATCATTTCGTTCAAAACTGAAAGTTTCTACAGTTTCTAGCATGAATCATTATTATTAAAGCAATGAACAACTTTTATTAGTTTGAAACCAACGAACAGAAAAGTTATACAGTATTGTTGCAATATAAAAAATAACTGATATCAATTAGTTAATATTTTGTTAATATTATTTAATTAAAATAATAGAATTCAAAACATTCTTAATCAAATAATATTAAATTAATGTTTCAACAGTTTTGAAATGAAAACAAGGAATATGCTGATTAATATTTTCAAATCACCATTTAAAAATTCTTTAATAAGATAAGAGCATTGTTGTTTGGAATTGATCATTTTTAATATCAGATAAAAGAGATGAATGAATAACTATGAAACTGCAAGACTACACCCTAAGCATTTAGTGAAAATGATAAACAAAAGTATGATCAAAGAATTCTTCACCACTAAAATTTGTTAATGTAAAAATGTTAATCGAGACAGATTCTTTTTCATAAAATTTATGAATTTCCAAAAAGTTTGATACAATGAATCCTGCACATAAGACTACACGCTTTAATAATGTATATAATTTGTGGACAATCCCCACAATTGAGCTATTGAACTTCATGATTTCTACAAACATTATTATCAAAATAAAAAAGTGTTGGACCAGAAATCCAAACTTTTTGATTCTGCAAACTGATTATTTAAAAATCCACACTTTTCATAAAAAATGGGAGGTTCTGTAAACACACAAAAATCAGGAATATCAGGCCAAAAAGATAGAAATCAGTAAAAAAAATTTTATCCAGAAAATTTTGTCACTTCATCTTGAATAGAGCTTTTAAGACCTGCAGTATACAATCATTGCGTTGAGTAAGCCAATATAACATTCTTAAGTTCTTTGAATAGCTGAAATTATTTTTACATGAAGTTATTTTTCGTAGCAAATTAACTATTTATTGATGGATATTTGAAATTAGAAAGGGTTGTTTTTTTCTATTAAAATGTTGAAAAAACTTTGTTACATAGCAAGTATCAGTTTTCTATTTATTCATTAACACAAGAAACTGATCTTAGTGTATTTTGGTGAGAAATTAGCAGTTTTTTCTACAAAAGCGAAATTATTGCAGAAAATATTAAGTAATTTTAGATAAAAATGCGAAATTAAAATAAATGTTTACCAGTCATCCATCCAAATGTTACTGGTAGAACTTTTGGATTTGGGTAATAAAGTTGAAGCTTGCTGTAAGACAGTGTCCCAGGAAGTTCAATGTGACTCTCTGACAAAAAAAAAATAGTAAGTCATAAGGATTATGAAATAAAATTCGAACCAGTATATTTATATCACTAAGTACATTAATACATTATTTTGTCAATTTAAAGTAGAAATATATAGCTACAAGCAAAAAAACATGAGAATTCTTAGACCTTTTACTCTGGCACCACAATTTTTTAAAATTTGCAGCATTTTTATAATTTTAAAATAAAAACTAATTTAAAAATCTGTTTAAAATTGTTAGTTTTTGAAAGTAATATTAAATTTCTTCACTTTTTAAAAAATATTTTATTGAATGAAACATTTTTTTATTTATTATTATTTCAAAAATATACTTTAATCTTTTTATCATGTACAGCACCATAAAAAAAAAAGAAAACAAATAAATAATTTTTATTCTAATAATTGGATTCTTTCATTAATAGGCATTTGTAAGGTTCCTAAGGCATCGGGGGAAAAAAAGACCTTACATCCCATTTAAAAAACTGAAAACGGCTCATGAAAGTCTACTGACTTCACTGGTCTAACAAGGTCTTGTAAAATTTACACGATTCCTAAAGTTGAGAGTTCAGCCTTGCTAGGATAGGCGACAAATAACCATGTGATGTAAAGAGCCAATCATCATGCGCCTGATTTAAAATATGACTTGAAGCTGCTTTTGCCCAGCAATGTTTGTTTGTAAGTAGGCTACGAGATTCAAAAGCTAGAGGCGATGAAAAATCTAGTTTTTATTCCTCTTCTAATGTCGCACTCAAAGTCAAACCTTGGGTAAATGGTAAGTTATACATAAACGTAAGAGGTTTGCAATTTTCTTACTTTTGCTGACAGTGGGAGAAAATTCAAAAATCATCAAAATTATTCTTATACAACATTTGAATCGTCAGAAAAATAAAATTATAATAATATTTTTATCACAATTGTAACATTAATGCTAATTTGATATCAATCCTCTGAGCGTTAGTTATGGTTTATTTCGAAATTTAAAACGCAGGCTTACCTGTATCAAATAAATAAATAAATAAAATGGTTTTCCTCACATTATTTAATGGGAAAGTAATGAGTAGCAGCTAATTCTCAGTGCAATTTTACCCTAGGGCTCAATGCTTGGAGAGTTCAGTGGTTGCATTTTTTATTTTTTAATTCAAATTATGCTAAAAGAGATGCTAAATGTTGAATTAAACATACTGATTTTTTAAAAAAAATCTCATTTTAATCAACAACTAAGAAAGATACATCAATCTTTTAAAATCTAAAGATACATCAATCTTTTAAAATCTTTAAAAAAAGCTTTGGCAAAACTTATCACACACTTGATAAGGAAAAATTACACGCATTTAACTCAACAAAGATTTTGAGCAAGTTCCAAAATTTAAATTTGGAAAAAACAATTTTAATTTTTATCAAAACTGAAACACTTTTAAATTCAATAAAGTCCAAAATAATTTTATCAAATTTATTAAGGAAGATATTGGAAAAAAACTTTTCGCTAAACCAATAATTAACTAAAAAAAAATTCTTTATAAATTAACTTACCAGGAACATCTTTATAATAATGGAATACATTTTGCAGAACAGGTGGGTCACTGGAATTAGAATCTCCCATAAACTGAATAAGTCTCCTTACAAAACAAAACAAATGCATATTTAAAATTTTTTTAAAATTGTATTGCTTTTGAAAAGATGCTATACAAGAATATTGCAAACTTACTGCGGAGTTGTTACAAATGCAAAATATTTATCACCAGAAATTTTGTGAAACACAATACCAGTGATAGTTTTGCAGTCTGAACTCAGTACATTTGTAACCCCCAGATCAAAAACCTAAAAATAAAGCCAGCATTATACATTTTTATGCCTGATTTAAAGGTCTAGATTTCATATTTTAGTTTAAACTCAGTAAAACGTTTTTTACACATGGATTTCTTGAACCATCTAAAATCAAAATGATAATGGCAAATAAAGTTATCTACAAATAAAACTTTACACATGACGAAAAGCAGGCCCATAATTGACTGAGTCTTAGTTAGCAGCTTCATTTGTACTCTTTTTGAGATTTTCAAAAAATTTAAATTTTATTGAGTAATGCTACTATTTTTGCCAGTTAATATATTATTTATACTCATTAATTAATATATTTATTAATATTTCATAAAGAAAGATAGTTAACATATGATAAATAAACAAATTAGGTAAAAAAAATTATAGATGAAAAAATATATGATACCGTACGTCACCCCTATTCACAGAGGGATGACAAGAATTTTTTTAAATTATGACTTTAAAATGAATTTTATTTTTTTTATACTAATTTATTTTTAAATGCTTGAAAGTTATTTATTTATAAAATACTGGTCCTTTGGCTGCTTAACCATTAGACCAAGGGCTCTTCCATATTTCTCTACAAATATTTCTCTTAGATAGTGTTTGAAAGCTATTTTAACGAACTTAATTTTTTTTTTTTAAAATACCTACAATTGAATAATAATAACACTTTTTGAAGAAATATATACACTACAGGACAAAAGTAAAAAACAGTTCTAAGTGGATAAAAGTGTTTAGAATATGAGTGCCTAATCATATTGGCTATGTTATGTTCAGTATGTTAAAATTGAAAGATAAAAACAAATTCCCACTGAAGCGAACATAGCTCATGTTTAATACTTAAAGAATGACGTTATATAAGCTAAACTTCACTTACTATATATAATAACAAATAGCATTCTAAAGAAATATTGCACACATTGCCTTACCATCAATTAATTTGCAATTCAATAGCATTGTTATACGTCAACCCTTATTCGAACTCATAGATTGACTTATTATAAGATTACATCAACCTCAGCGCTTGATACCAATAAATTGAATAATCCTTCTATTACAGTATGTCTTTAGCTTTTTTTAAAAACAAGTATTTAACTTATTCTTTCACTTATATCCAAATACACGGAAAATGATGCCCAAATGATATGATTTTTCAAAAATATTTATTAATTTAAAATGAACCATCTTCACAAAATAATGTAATAGCTTTGGGTGCAATAAATCCCACATATGTTTGCCAAAAGCTACATTACTGCCCAGCAAATGCTTCTCCGGTATTTTGTGAAAAATATATACAAGTTAGCTATTAAATTTCTCTCACATTCATGTATTAATCCATGCATTTTGCAATAAATATCTAAGCTGTGTAAACCTAATGTAATATTAAAGTTTTAATAAGAAACAAAAGAATAATTAATTTATTTTTATTTTCTTTGAAAAATAGCAGTTTTAACAAAATTTAATATTATCCAAAAGTTTATAAAGCTAATAATGACTACATAAAAAAATAGAGGATAATAATGATATTAAAAATAAGAGAAAATTATATTGCAACTGAAGACATACTTGCTTAAAATACTGTTCAGGGCTACTTTGGAAAAAAGGTCTGTCATCTCCTGATGCTAATTCGGTTTCAAAAATTAATCCTAAAAATAGGAACAGTTACAAACTTTTAATGTAAATTTAATTTAATACACTACATCTATAGGATTATTAAATAAAATACTTGATGATTAATAAATTAAAATAAATAATTAGTGCAGTTTAATAGGGTAAGTTCCAGATATGTTATGCACTATGAAATTTTAGTTACAATTTTTAGTTTGGAACAAACTTTTAAATCTACCTAAAATTTTATTTAACTAACAGACATAATCCTGATATAAAAATAATTCCTTTTAATGATAAAGTGCTGGCATTGAAAAAAAATTAAATATCAAATATGCATTTGTAAAATAAACAAAACTTCAGCCATAGAGCTTCATGTTTACATCAACAACTATAGAATTACAACATTACAGAAAAAAAGGTAATACTGCTAAATATATTGTTTACGAAAATAGAATTAATAAACTTCTACCAATATTTAAAATAATGAATGTAAACATAATGCATTATAAATGAAATACTAAGCTGGAATAACTATTTCTAAAAAGTTACCTTTCGTAGTTCCAATAAGTAGTATTCCAGTTGAATTGTCAGTAGATCCCAGAGGATTCCACGCTACAGAACTTATAACTTGTCCCTAAAAATTTAAATTTCTGTTTTATTAATTATTATTAAAAGTCACATGATTTTGGAAAAGCATTCCTAATTTCCAGTAAAATGTAGCCTTTTCAAACAAAATCTTTAATAAAAATGAATACTGAAAATATCTATACAAGTCTAAGTTTGTATGAAATAATATTATTAGCTATATTTCACAATTTAATAGTTTTATAAGTGAATTCGTAATTATTTAAGCTCAGGAGAATTGAAATGAAGTCAAATTAAAATGAAAAAAAATCTAATAGACTAAAAAGATTAATAATAGAAAACTAACAAAAGCTAATAAAAAGAAAGAAAAAATTATAATTCCCTTAATTTAATTTCATTAGTTGAGCAAAAATATTNAATTTAAGTTTTATTTAAAAAAAATTAGACGTATTCATCCATGCATTTTGCAATAAATATCTAAGCTGTGCAAACCTAATGTAATATTGAAGTTTTAATAAGAAACAAAAGAATATTTAATTTATTTTTATTTTCTTTGAAAAATAGCAGTTTTAACAAAATTTATTATTATTTGAAAGTTTATAAAAATTTAATATTATCCAAAAGTTTATAAAGCTAATAGTGGCAAAAATAATAATAAAAAATAGAGAATAATAATATTAAAAAAAGAGAAAATTATATTGCAACTGAAGACATACTTGCTTAAAATATTGTTCAGGGCTACTTTGGAAAAAAGGTCTATCATCTCCTGATGCTAATTCGGTTTCAAAAATTAATCCTAAAAATAAGAAAAGTTACTAAAAGATTTCAAAAATTAATCCTAAAAATAGGAAAAGTTACTAAAAGGTTTCAAAAATTAATCCTAAAGATAGGAAAAGTTACTAAAAGGTTTCAAAAATTAATCCTAAAAATAGGAAAAGTTACTAAAAAGTTTCAAAAATTAATCCTAAAGATAGGAAAAGTTACTAAAAGGTTTCAAAAATTAATCCTAAAAATAGGAAAAGTTACAAACTTTTAATGTAAATTTAATTTAATACGCTATATTTATAGGATTATTAAATATAATACTTGATGATTAATAAACTAAAATAAATAATTAATGCAGTTTAATAAGATAAGTTCCAGATATATGTATACTGAGCACAGATAAGCATTTACTAAAATAAATTTTAGTTACAATTTTTAGTTTGGAACAAACTTTTGAATCTACCTAAAATTTTATTTAACAAACAGGCATAATCATGATATAAAAATAATTCAATTTAATGATAAAGTGCTGGCATTGAAAAAAAATCAAATATCAAATATGCATTTGTAAAATAAACAAAACTTTAACCATAGAGCTTCATGTTTACATCAACAACTATAGAATTTCAAAATTACAGGAAAAAAGGTAATACTGCTAAATATATTGTTTAAGAAAATAGAATTAATAAACTTCTACTAAAATTTAAAATAATGAATGTAACCGTAATGCATTATAAATGAAATATTAGGCTGGAATAACTATTTCTAAAAAGTTACCTTTCGTAGTTCCAATAAGTAGTATTCCAGTTGAATTGTCAGTAGATCCCAGAGGATTCCACGCTACAGAACTTATAACTTGTCCCTAAAAATTTAAATTTCTGTTTTATTAATTATTATTAAAAGTCACATGATTTTGGAAAAGCATTCCTAATTTCCAGTAAAATGTAGCCTTTTCAAACAAAATCTTTAATAAAAATGAATACTGAAAATATCTATACAAGTCTAAGTTTGTATGAAATAATATTATTAGCTATATTTCACAATTTAATAGTTTTATAAGTGAATTCGTAATTATTTAAGCTCAGGAGAATTGAAATGAAGTCAAATTAAAATGAAAAAAAATCTAATAGACTAAAAAGATTAATAATAGAAAACTAACAAAAGCTAATAAAAAGAAAGAAAAAATTATAATTCCCTTAATTTAATTTCATTAGTTGAGCAAAAATATTGAAAATATACAAGCTAAATTTCACAACTTGAATTGGTAGTATTTTAGAAACTAAAGCATGCAACTATAACTGTAATTAAAGTAACTATAAAGTACACCAAGTGATTTAATATTTTTCAAAATTGTCACTGAAAAATTCATTACAGAGGGAAATCATTAGAATAGCTGTTTATCATCTAAAAAAAATTATAAAACATATAACAATCATATAATAATAGGAGAATCAACACTTCACAAAGAGTACAGATCTAAAATTATACCTTTTACGAAAAAAATATATTTTTTTTACCTTCATTTTATTACAATGCTGAGCTTTCTTTGAAGATTGAAAAAGGTATAAATTTTCAAAGGGTCCTTCATTTCCAGGATTAACCAAACTAATAAGGAGATGTTTACCCATGCGATCAAGAAACAATTCATAAATTTTCACTCTTTCTGATGCTCCTTTTTGCAAATCAATATCTAATTTAAAAAAATAAAAGGAAATCATTATTAGAGAAAACTGCAACTAGAAATCAAAGTTACGAGGTGGATAACAATTTAATTTAACAAATATAAATACATACACTGGTGGACAAAATTAAGAGATGCAAAGCATTTTCGCACATGCAAGATGCCCGCACACCGCTCCATGTGTTTGACAATGGTTCTGTGAATGCCCAGAGGTACAAGCAAGAGGTCCTAGAGCCCTATGTGCGTCTTTTCAGGGGTGCTGTTGGTCCTGAGTTCATTTTCATGGACGACAATGTCTGACTACATAGAGCTCTCATGGTTGATGAGTATCTGAAAAGCGAGGATATTCAACGAATGGATTGGCCAGCTAAATCCCCTGACCTGACTCCTATTGAACATGCTTGGGATGCTCTTGGGAGAGCTATTGCGATGCTCCAACCTCCCCACAGAACCATTCTGGAGTTAAAAATTGCTCTGGTGGAGAACGGGAGGGTCTTTTGCAAGTCCTTCTTAACTCCCTTATTAACAGCATGCATTCTCGTTGTGCATGCTGTCTGTCTACCAGGGGTGACCATCCACCATACTGGAGGCAATAAACACTGTACAGACCTCACTTTTATTGTCATCTTTTATCCTTAAGTTCAGACTACATTGGATTTATTGGCAATAGGTCTTGCCAGTGAATGGCACTATCATTTTTGTTTTGCATACTTTATTATCATGGAATAAGCTATATCCATAGCAAATTTCATTTATTTATGTTCAGCATTTTTTGAGATATTTGGGAAAATGTCTTCCATCTCTTAATTTTGTCCACTAGTGTATATAAAGGAGTAAATCCATATTTTTGAAATTAGATTTAAGACCAGTAGATTTAAAATTTATATGAAAAAAACTGTGTCTGAGACATAGAGATTTAAGATTTTTTTTTTTTAACTATAACTTCAAGAATATAAATAAAAGGAGTAATGAAAAATATGAAAATATTAAGAAGGTTCAGATATTTTAAGATAAAATATTTTGCGAAGGAACCATTTTTCACGCAAAATATTTTACTAAGTTCCGTTTTAACGCTAAAATACTTTGTAAAAGCAAATTAAAAATACTTCAATATATATATACACATTAAAAAGAATTCAATTGTCTCAAAAACTATGCTTGAAAAATGTTGATAGGTATTTAAAATTAGTAACAGTTAAATTAATTCCCCCATATACACTAAATACTATAACAAAGGGGGTAAATAACAATTATAAACACAAAAAGATAGATTTTTATACATATTAAAAGACAGATAAAAGATTTTTTTTTCCTTAGCAGTTTTCCATACAACAATTGGAAACATTTAAACTGGCCATATATACATAAAAATTTAATAACTAAAAGTTCAAGTAAATGAATTCTTTTGTAATTATATAACTTTCCACAAATATAATCAATGACTATGCAACTTAATCAAAGATACACAGGTTTTATATACATTTAAAAATTACACGCTTAAAATAACACCTAAAATAGTAAATAAAACTCTATTTAAAATAAAAATATAAAGAACTAATATACACATTATGCATATTTACAAGAAACTCCATGATGCATCTAAAAAATTTACTTAGGAAAAACCTAAAACAAACCAATCACTTATAAAATAAAAATACTAAGTTTTATCGAATGCACTTTTTAAATAATATAATGAATTAATCTAGAAACAACATATTTATTAAGAGAAACAAAATAATGCATAAAGAACCATACCATCATAATTGTCTGGATTATTTAAATCCATTCTTCGTATTTTGTTTCTCATGCCAAGTATCAATTTATTGTTACAAACTGTCATATGCGTTATAGAATCAGAAGGACTAAAATATAATAAAAGTATTTAAAAATGTGAGATCAAATGCAATGATAAATAATATATTTCTTAACTATGAATAACATTTCTTATTGAAAATATTTTTGACTAATAATTTTAAATATTCAATTGATTCATTAGTCTATCTTATATTTTACAAAAAATTAAGTAATAAATTAATAAAGTAATGTAATCAGAAGATACAACAAAAAAAAGCCAATTGATTTTTTTATTCTTAAAATTCACATATTTCCTTCTAAAATTTAACACATTAAAAAAATATAAAAGATTATATACAATATGAATTAGACAAATATAAAAGATGATCATTTCCATAATACTTTGAATTTAAGTTTTATTTTAAAAAAATTAGCAAATTTTATTCCAAAAATGAAATGAAAAAAAAAAAACTTTATTCATATTTACTTGAAATTTATCCTTTTTTTAGTAAACATAGGAGCATCATCTTCTAAATTGGCATTAATTAGACCAGCAGTTGTCTATAAAAATGAAAACACAAATATTTGAAAAAATCTTTAAGGATTGACCTGTTATATTCATAAAGTGTACACCTTTCATTAAAATCATGTGCATTCAGGAGATATTTGATTTTATAAAGCGGGTGATTTTACAAGCCCGTATATCAATAATTAGGAAGAAAAAAGGTAGATTCAAAGTTTAACTTTACAAAGACAATAAAAATTATATCAATTATGCACTATATATATATTTTATTTTTAGTATTTTAATTAAACCAAGACATTTTGATTACAAAATGGGTTTAAAATACAGATCTATTATTGCTTGATAAGCAGAACTTTTGTAACTTTCAGTGCTTAGAATGCAAAAATAAATTCTAATACATTTGAAATTTATTGTTGAAAAGCAAATCTTTCTGTTAAGTCATGCTGGTATTTCCAAAACAAATTTAAAATGAATTTGGAATTGTTCCCTCAACCTTTACGCATAAATCAAATCAGAACAAGAGAAGAAACAAGTTCATAACAGTTCATTATACTAGTTTCACTAAGTTCTTAAGAATGTGATTTTGTCAAGTTGTATAAATGGCTGTACACACAAAAATGAAGAATCATGCACAAACGAAAAAACTGATTTAAAAAAAAAAAACATATTTGTTCAAAATGAAGAAATTAAACTAAAAAAGTATATGAAAAAAATGCTGTATTTTTAGAAAAAACAATTTTTTAAAAGTAGCTAATCAGAATTAAATCTAGTACTGAATTTAAATTGTTATAAATATTTTAATATTACCCTTTAAACTTAATGATTTAATTTAACTTATAATTTTAAGAAAATTTCAAAATGAGGTACAGTGATTATTTGGCAGTTGTTTCAATATCACATTATTAATAAATAGTTTTTTATTCTTATGTCTAATGTTATTGAATGATAGTGGATTCATATGAGTTTCGATTTAGGCTACAAAGCTCTAACTGGCCTTTCAAATATTACGTAAGCAATAACCAAGTTCGGAGAGGAGTTAATGATTTGCTTATTTTTGCTACTCAGGGTAGCAAAGCAATATGAGAAATGCTTACACAAGAGATTAAAATCTTTATATTTTCAAAATTTTCTTAGAAAGTAAAATAAAAAGCTTAACAAAAAATTACATGCAGCAAATTTTTAATTGTGGAATTGAAGTTGAATTTATAGAAAGAAAAAATTTTAAAAAAATTTTCTTGAAGAGTTTCAAAGGTTAAGAGTTACGAATACAAAAGATTCCTGAAAAATATTCCAGTCAAAATTTTATAAAATGAATTTAAATGTAAATTTCTTTTATTGTAAAATTTACATCTGTTTATTTTAATTTAATCTTAAAACTAGATTGCTAGTATTGCTACAGTAAATTTCAAAGATAAACCAAAAATCAAAGGAGGGTCGCAACTTTCTAATATAATCATAGGAGGAAGACTCGTGATTTGCTTATTTCTGCTAACAAGGAGGGGAGACAGAAATTGAAAAAATAAGTTTATTTAATATTTAAACTCCCCTAAAAGATAACACTAATATTCTCCTTAAAAAAAACTCAAATATATACAATGGATATTAAAAAAGAAAAGTGAATACCAACAGATAGCAAATTTTAGTGTATTCATTTTAATTAAATACATTGATGATTTATAAAAAGTAATATATGTCTCATGAAATTTAACTTTGACTGTAAGTTGTTATTAGCCAAGATAAATAAAAAAAACACTGTAGCAAATTCATATCAACTTTCAAAAGAAATAAAATCACATCTATAATTACCCCCAATTTTAAAATAATTTTTATGTAACGCAAATCAAATGTAAACTTACCATTTCTGGTATTACAGGCTTCCCTGTCATGTAACCTGATGAAAGTGATGCAGCCTGTTCATACTGATCAAATAAAGAGGCCATTTTTAAGAAGTAGTTTGATCCTGTAATTATAAAAGCAAATTAACAAGTTGTATGTTTCTTTAAATTCTAAAGAAAAACATAAAACAAATTAGATTGTTTCATTTCAGTGTGCTTAAAAAAAACATATTTTAAACAAAATAAATGAGCTTTAAACAATTAAAATTTTATTTATCTATGACTACTTTTTTTAAGGCTCAAGAAAAATGGTACAGAATAATTTAAAAATAAATCAGCAATGAAATAGAATGATATTGAAGATCACGCCTCTTACGAAAAGCTGAACTCGCCCAAGCTTCCTTTCAAGAACAAAATGCAATATCTAAATGCATACACAGATGTAGTGGATGCAACAAATTTGTAATATGTATTTTATTTCCTATTCAGATAGCCATTTAAAGTTAGAGAAAAGAAATAACTGAAATACAAATTTGTCACAGTTTTGTTTATCAAATACAGAACAGCAAAGTTTCAGGCTACCTAATTTTGTACGATTTGAGTCTCGATATTAAAAGTAATATTAATTTCATTGTCTGAAACATTTAACTAATTTGAATATGATCCCTCATTAAATTTTTTATTGTATTATTTCTATTGATTAATATCGTAATTTAGCTTACATCAGAAAAGCTTTTAAATTTTTTTGAAAAGTTTTAATAACTGTAACTTTACTTAGAAGTTTGTTTATTTACAAACTGTGTCCTATTCTGCTGTGTAAATTTAAAATCAATCAATGTAAAAAACCGGCAACAGTAAAGTAATTATATATCATTTAAAAAGTTTAATAACTCCTTTTAAGATGCGGGTCTTATTGTCTTTTAGTTCGTTTATACGATTTTATTCAAAATCGTCTGCAAAACCTTTACGGAAGACAAAATTAACGCAGGCTAATGAGACGAAACCCCAAAAGTTTGTAGATTTTCGAGAAATCACAGCAACAGGTGGCAAAGGAGGAGATGGCTGTATAGCATTTTTAAGATTACCGAGAAATCCAAATGCAGGTCCAAGTGGAGGTGACGGTGGTCATGGTGGCCATGTAATATTACAAGCTAATAGTGAAACAAAATCCTTAGATCATGTTCCTCCAATTACGAGAGGTTGTAATGGAATTTCAGGTCGTGGTAAACATATGCATGGTGCAAATGGTTCTGATTTTATTCTTGATGTACCACTTGGTACGTTGGTCAAAGAAGAGGACAAACTAATGTGTGAATTAAACGAGCATGACTCCAAATTCGTTGCAGCAAGAGGTGGTGCTGGAGGACATGGTAATCATTTTTTTCTTAGTAACGAAAACAGACATCCTGAAATTGCTGAACGTGGTGCAAAAGGTGAAGTTCGTAAATATACTCTAGAACTTAAAATAATGGCCCACATCGGCTTGGTGGGTTTTCCAAACGCTGGGAAATCTACTCTCCTCAGAGCGATTTCCAGAGCTCGGCCGAAAATCGCTTCCTATCCGTTTACAACTCTGAATCCTCATATTGGAATAGTTCATTATGATGATTATGTACAATTAGCAGTTGCTGATTTACCTGGAATTATTCCAGGTGCGCATGAAAATCGAGGTCTGGGAATATCTTTTCTTAAACACATTGAAAGATGTTCTGGAATATTGTATGTCATTGATGTATCGTCTAGTTATGCATTACAAGAGCTACAGCAACTTCAATATGAGCTTGAAAAATATCAAGAAGGACTTTCAACTAGGCCACATGCTGTTGTAGCCAACAAGTGTGACTTAGATTCTGATGGTACAAAACTGAAAGAAATTAAAGAGGCTCTTGATATTCCAATATTTCCTATATCAGCCAAGTTTGGGACTAATATTTTAGATCTTTTGAAATACATACGTAAACTTTATGATGAGGGTGATAAAAAAATGATTTGGTAGTTTTTAAATAAAAAATTTCTCAATATTAGTGTTCAGTCATTGAGTTTAAAATAAAAGCTTATGAAATAAATGTTGATTTGTGTACACGAAATAAAAATTGTTTGCAATATGTTCATAGCTGTCTATCTAAAAAATCAGAAATATTTATGGAACTATTACTGAAATTTTAAACATGACTGTAAAATTTTATTAATGACTTAATGATTAATTATTACTTAAGGACTGTGCTTACATTATTATTTTGAAATTACTGATTATTACATGGACTTTTCCAAAAATTGTGACATTTTTGTATCCTAAGAATAAAAAATCGAACTTAATTCAAGAAAATAGTGCTGAATTTTCAGAAATAACTCATTTTGATTTATAACACATTCAATTATTTTAGTAATTCTATTTATTTTTAAAATATGAAAGTAGCTACCTAAAAAACTTATATTTCAGACTCTCATACAGCCCTTTATTAAATATTTGGTTAATAAAAGGTTACCTTACTTGTCAGTGTTAATTAGTTTATTGGCAATATTTTTTAATTGAGAAGCAGTAAGACTCATTTTAGTTAGTTATTTTTATTTATATTACGCTCCTTTGTTTTATATTATCTTGTTTTCATTTTCAATAAAATCTTTTGAAATTCACTATATTTTTTAATTCAAGTTATGAAAATATACTTATTGTTTGTAAAGAGGAAAAAAAAATTTTGGACACTGAATAGGTATATTAATTAAATAAAAAAATTAACTTAAAAGAATTACCCCCCCCCCCNTAGAACTGGAAAATGTATGCCAGGAATTCCTCTTTGGTATTTATATTGTATTCTGTCCATAAAGGGTATTTTTTATTTGTTTTGTAATCTATAAGCATTTCATGGTGTTCCTCGCCATGAAACACAAATGCAAGATGGTTTAACCAATATCCTCACAACAAACAGTTTATCTCTTTGCTAATCCAGAATTTATCCTCTGGGTTAGGTTCATTATTACAAGGCTGCATAATTTGTTTGAAAATCATTTTATTATTCATAAAATATTTTCCAAATACTAACTATATATCTATTCAAGGATTTGAATGTATTACAAAATAACACAGTAAGAGTTTCAAATTAATAATAAAATTTGGATAAATGGAAACATTTTCAAGGTCTCTCAAATCACAAATGAAGAAGGTGAGATTAAAAACATCAAAACCAGTACGTTTGTCTCAGTAAATTATGAGGAGACAAAAGACAATTGAAACTCCTTTAAATTTTGTATAGCACTTTTGATAATTTTTTTCCCTGTCATCATATTAGTTAGTCTTATTTTCTTCCTAAATATAAATTTTCAACTCATGGTATATACTATACATTAGATGTGTAAGCCTACATTATTGATAAGAATTTAAAAGCATGCATAAATGGGGATGACTACAGATAAGCTAATATGTTTCATGATTTACCTGTTGAAATTTATATTTATAACGAGAGTTAAACAGCCAACCCGATAATGACTTTACGACTTACAATATTCAACGCTATAACCTTGTATTTTTGAATCCAACCCAGAAGACACAAGAACTCCTAGATCAAGCATTAGGACAGGATCTAACTCGCAATTGCTTTAGATGGGGAGGAAAACCTCACACAGTTAGCCTGACAGCAAGGGGATTCTAACCCATGATCTGTCTTCACTAAGAATATTTTGCGTCATCACTGTGGTTGGTGTAAGCTGGGAGCAGAATTCATATCAACCTATCCCCTGTGTATCCACCTATTGAAGTTATGTTCATTCAAACTTGAGATTTTTACATATAGTGAGGCGAGTCACAAGTACAAGTGAGGCGAGTATTAAGTGAAGCCTATTAAAATGTCACAAATAAAAGTGTGTTGTGCAAGCCCCAATAATGTTGAAGATTATCTCCAATGGTTGTTAGGTCAAAGTTAGGATCCTTTTACTGTTGCCAAAACTTCTGGAAGGACGGGATAGCCTGGTCCGTAGAGCACTGCGCCCATGTCCGAGAGTTCGTGGGTTGGAACTCCGCCTTCCGAAGACTCCACGTGTAGTAAAGTGACTGATGCACGTTAAATCTGTGGAGTCGCAAAAGTCCTCCATGTTCCCACAACAAATCAAAACCTCAAGGGGTACTGGATTGGAGATCGATCGTTCTCTGATTCAGGTCAAAATTACGATCTGTGGATGTATGAATGGGTTCGCCCTATTAACGGGTGTGACGAATGGTGTGGCAGAAGTCGAATTCTTGGCCACAGATGGCGCCACTGGAAAAGAAGAACAATCGCACCCCTCTGCCTAAAACAGGCATACGTCAACAACAAAACTTCTGGAATTTCTTGGCATCTTCCTCTTCTCTAATTATCACGAACACTTGTTAGTTCCAATTCAGGCAGTTTTCTCAAATTAAATTCGTTTCTGTGCCAATACATGTTTTCTACCAAGAAAGCTTCGGGAAAAGAGCAATCTTGAGTTGTCTGGGGTTCAAATTCCAATGATGACTGATCTTTTGTATACTGTTCCCACGCTGCTATCACCAACTCCAATACTTGCGAAAAATATCCCACCTTTAGTAGACGTAGATCATGAGTTAGAGCCTAGCTGTCATAAGAGGCATTCGTGGTTTCCTTTTCCGTGTAGCGCAAATGTAGCTTATTTTCAATAAAAAATTCCTCCTTGAAAGTGAGTTTTTCTCTATACCTGATCTAGGAGTTTCCTTGCATCTTTTGGAGTTGGGCTCAAAATTACAATACTACGGAGTTTAACAATGATAAAGACGTTAATCCAATATGGATTAGCTGATTGCTGTTGATAAATTATAATAAAATGCGTGTCTCCTGAATAGGAAAGAAAAAAGTTCTTCCAAAGTAACAATATTTAAATTCTACATATATATATATATATACACAAATTTTTTTAAGGGAAATTTTTATTTCACGACAAAAAACTACGAAAAAGTTGAAGCAATCACGTTAGTAGAGAAACCTTTAGTTAAAAAAAAAAAAAGAATTCATTGTAATTTACTTGAGAGAAACTATTTGCTTTGCTTTAAATGTGCACTTTTAATTCATGCACTCCGATTTTTTATTTTGGATGAAAAAAAATCCAATTTAAATGAGAATAACTTTATCTTCAAGTTTTTCCATTCAACTATTACGATTGTTATTTGAGTCTTTTATGATTTTTGTATATTTCCATCGCTTTAAAAACCTGATTTTACTAACTCGCTTTCTTGTTTATGTAAATCAAATTCTGTAAATGAAATTCCATCCACTTTACTTCTAACTAGAGTTCTCAAATCTTACGCGGAGCTCTGTGCTCTATGAAATAAACTACCAAAATAAATGTGAAAATTTTAAGAATTATATCGGCATGTGGAAACTGACAATCTGATTTCTTAAAATAGAAGCCAAATTAAACTGTGAAATTTCTTAAAACACTTGTCACCAACCTAATTTTTTTCATACTAAAGTAACTCAATACTAACTTCCAAATCCTATTTATTTTCTCAATCAACCTAAATTTTAATGTTAGTAATTAAAAGGTTGTACAGCAGGCAAAATAAAAACGGTATCACTTTAAATAATTTTAATAATTAAATGTTCGCATACTAAGTGCCAATCTTAACGGTTCAAATGTGGGACTTCAAATAAGCTAATGAATGAATGCTAACTGATTGGTTATTGCAATTACATAAATTTTCAGGCTTGTGTGCTCAATATAGGCTTATAAACAACCCTTCTTCAAGTAGAAGAGGACAGATAGCACAATAGGAGAGACAGTACCGCCCCGAATCATTTATATTCATCCCATGCTAACTGATACTTACATAAACAGATACAAAAACTTACTTTCTCTTGAATACCTTTTTTCGGCGGATCTTTATTTTTGACCATCAAAGTATTCCATGAAACCTAGGGTTTCCTGGAACAGTTAAAAGGGTTCCAACAGATTTTTTTTAACTATTTTCTTATCATTTTGGTAATTATATTTAAATCAAATCAATAATCTATAATTCATTTGATATTTTGTAATTATACCTTTATGCAATTATTTAAAGTAAAATGACAATGAAAAAATAACATTCTTTAAGAATTAGGTTCGTTAATAAATATGTTTCCCTAATAGCAATTTAAAACATCCATAGCAGTTCTTTTTAGTTTTCATTTCAACGAAAACCATAATTCGGCTTAATTTAATCGCTTTTAGCTTATAAATACCAAAAATAAATTTATTACCTGACTGTAGTCAGCTCCGGGACTATGAATTCAACTTTGGCCGTACGACCTCATTTAAGATTAATGATAAAGCGAAGAAAAAAATCCATTTCTCTTTTTTTGTTCTTTTTTTTGCAACCGTAGTTGAACAGCCGACTACATTTTATGGATTTACGACTATTAATGTTCAACTCCGAAGCCTTGCAATTTGAACCCAATCTAGAGGACAAGGAAACTCCTGGATCGAGTATCGGGAGAAATTTTGCCTTCGTGGAGGACTTTTTGATGGAGCTAACCCGCATTTGCGTTACATGAGAGGAAGACCACGAGAACCCCCCACGGTTAGCCTGACGGCAAGGGGACTCTAACCCATGATCCATCTACCACTGAGGATATTTCACGTCAGCACTCTGGTCGATGCAAGCCGGATGTGGAATTCGTATCGACTGGGATTCGAACCCGCTTCCCGGCTCCCGTTTCTCTTTTGAAATATTTTTAAAAAAAGTAGTCAATTTTTATTTAATAGGCTCACACTTGTTTATATATTCTTTATTTATAAAGTCGGGGTTCCGCCGAAAATAGGTTGATCATTTAGTGTTCCTTAGTGGTAAAAAAATGAGAATCGCTATTTTATTAAAAAATGTGGAAATCAAGAGAGTTATCAAAAGATTTGGGCCCCATTAGGTTTATTTCACGTTTTGCTTATTTTGCTGTATTCCGGGAAGATTTTTAGCGGAAAAAAAGTTTCACGCAATCATAATCATAAAATTTGTCTATCAAAAGATAATTCCACTTGAAAAATTAATTTTAATACTTACATTTGTTTAATTGTGGTCGCAAAATGTTTGAATTCTTAGGTATATAAACTTTCACGCAATTTTAAACTATATAGTTTTCAAAATTTTAGCAATTTAGGAAATTTCTGAGTAAGGAAATTTTAAAAAAGCCCTATTTTTAAACTTTTGTTTTTTAAAGAATTATTTGACCAATTAACTTTCGTTTAAATTTTGTATATTGCCTTTTAAAATTACATGATTAAAAATTGCGTTAAAATGATTTTAAAAAAGAGTACTTCTTGAAAAAGAATAAACGAAATATCTTCAGGTTAAGATGCTAATGATTATCTATTGTGCACTCGGTATTTATACATAAATCGGATTCAAAATAAACTTAGGGAAACTCAAAACTAATTTTAAGTCATATTTGTCATAAACAAAACATTAATAGAATAGAGTTATTATCGCATGCTGCCTGAATCGAATATATGCATCTAATCGAAATTTATAACTTAATTTACTACACTGCTTTTCAGTTAGCGGCGCCCTTGAATGCAAAAATAATACGATATCTTCCTATAAAGCTTTTCATATTTCTTTCTCATATTTTCTCCCACTAACTGTAGAATTAAAATAGCAAACGATAAACTTAAAAGAGAATTATGAATATTTGACAAAACTTTCTCCCAAAAAAAACAGACATTTGTAGGAAAACAAGTTTTTTTTCTTTCTCTCTCAACGTCAAATGAGCATCCCCACCAATTTTAAAGCTCACAACTTTCCCTCTTCATTTCAAGTGCGAATACCTTTTCCTTCGAAGTTGTTTTAGCAAAGCACTTGTGATAGCAGACGATAACAAGAGTTTTCTTTATCTCTGATTTATTTTGTGATGGTGTTGCAAATAATTATACTTTTATCGTTTGAGATTTTAATGATAGCGATAGGGGCAAAATGCTACTCGAACTTCGGAAATAAGCATTTATTATTGCTACAGCTGACGAGTGGTAATTGATCGCATCTAAAGGATACAGTTGTTAGTTATAGACAATGTGATTTGGATTTCTCTTTTGAATCAGTGTTTCAAAAAATGTGTCACTGAATAAAATATTTCAAGGTGAGTTAATTAAGTAAGAAGTTATTTTCTATGACTTAAAACCTTATTATTCATTTAAATTGATTTTATTCTTAAATTATATATAATTACCAAATTTCTTACTATTATTCAATTTTTAAAGCCATTAACGATCGATTTTATGTTTACTATAATAAATGTGGCAATACATTCAAGTACAAAAATTAGCTTGTTTTTTTTCTTTTAGTTATAGCTCTACTTATATAAAAAAATAAGTAGGAAGAAAAAAAAACTCACAGCTGCTTGATTTTAAAACGAAAGAAATTATTTTCTTTTTATGTTGTTAGATTTTTATTTTCTTTCCAAAATTGGAAATGACAACTTTGAATTTTCGTGCAGTCGTATTTCTTTCAAAAAAATTATTTGCTGTTGTAGCCACAAGCTTATTAAAATATTGAAATTCATTTCATTTTTGTCACTTCATATTAAAATTTATGAAAACCGTTGGAACCCTTGCAACTACATACTTTTAAGATTTTTACTGTAAAAATTAAGCTTAACGATATTATCTAATTAGAATCTATATGAATATTGCGATATCTTTGTTAGTTACTTATTTTTAATCTGAGAATTGTGAGCTTAATCAATATCTTTTATTGGAAATCAAACCAAATTCATTTTTATATTTTCCTATTAATTCGAATATTTTTTTTAAGTTATAAAATTATACAGATTTGTATGTATCGAATTGCTTAAAAATACTGTAGTTAAATAATAAATAAGCTAAGAATTTCAAACAGCAAACAAAACATACCCTAAATATAAAGGACCTCTAACAATAAAACTAAAAAGAAAAATAACACGTCCTTGACCTCACCACGTTATCCATCAAAACCTTAAGTTTGACATTGACTGCAAGAGGGAGTACCCCCAGGTCAAGGGAAAGGTAGCAATTTTCTTTTCTCTCTTTTAACAATTTCGATCTTGTTTGCGTTTTGTTTCCAAAAAATATTCGAAAATAAAATTGGGGAAAACATAAATTACTTTTCAACTTATCAATATGTTTTGAAACTCAATGTATTATAAATTTTAGTAGAAATGAATGAATTATAATGATGAATTTATTATACACTTTATAAAAGAAACGTTTATACCTGTTTCTTAAATTGATTCGGAAAGGGGATGAAGGAAAGATTCTATGTTATTTTCTTAACACAGTGTTCGCCATAGTTGATTCGATTTTAACGGTAGATTTTTCTACCGATTTTAATGATAGACTCTTCACCCGATTTTAGCAGTAGATTCTTCTCGATTTTAATAGTTGATTCGATTTTAACGGTAGATTTTTCTCCCGATTTTAACGGTAGACTCTTCTCCTGATTTTAGCAGTAGATTCTTCGCCCGATTTTAACAGTAGATTCTTTTCCCGATTTTAGCAGTAGATTTTTCTCCCGATTTTAATAGTTGATTCGATTTTAACGGTAGATTCTTCTCCCGATTTTAACAGTAGATTCTTCTCCCGATTTTAACAGTAGATTCTTCTCCCGATTTTAACAGTAGATTCTTCTCCCGANTGAATTTATTATACACTTTATAAAAGAAACGTTTTTACCTGTTTCTTAAATTGATTCGGAAAGGGGATGAAGAAAAGATTCTATGTTATTTTCTGAACACAGTGTTCGCAATAGTTGATTCGATTTTAACGGTGGATTCTTCTCCCGATTTTAACGGTAGATTCTTCTCCCGATTTTAGCAGTAGATTCTTCACCTGATTTTAACGGTAGATTTTTCTCCCGATTTTAACGGTAGATTCTTCTCCCGATTTCAGCAGTAGATTCTTCATCCGATTTTAACGGTAGATTTTTCTCCCGAATTTAACAGTAGATTCTTCTCCCGATTTTAGCAGTAGATTCTTCTCCCGATTGTAACAGTAGATTCTTCTCCCGATTTTAGCAGTAGATTCTTCTCCCTGATTTTAATAGTTGATTCGATTTTAACGGTAGATTCTTCTCCCGATTTTAACGGCAGATTCTTCTCCCGATTTTAAAGATAGATTTTTCTCCCGATTTTAACAGTAGATTCTTCACCCTATTTTAACGGTAGATTCTTCTCCTGATTTGATTTTAACGGTAGATTTTTCTCCCGATTTTAACAGTTGATTTTTCTCAGTATGTGAAGTGGTAGAGACATTTACAAAATTCGTAAGTTTTTAGGCAATGTAGGGATAAGCCACACTTATTCCTGAGATGATATTTTTTGTTATAAAACTACTCCTTAAAATTGTAACCAGAGCTATACTTCACAAGGTTTTTTTTTTTCTTAAGGAATTTGCATTAGATATATATCCTATTTACTTCTTTACATACATAAGAAATAACACCTCAATTTCTAAAGTACAATCTTTTATTATACACATCTACACGTTTGAAACATCTTTCTACACAAATGAGGTATTTCCTGTGTAATTTTATATGATTTTTATTATGCATATCTACACGTGTGAAATATCTATATAGACAAATAAGGTATTATTTCTCATGTACTTTTTTTACACTGAATCAATACACAGATATATCTGATTACTTACTGTGCAAATTGCGTTGTTTTTCATCCAAAACGATTTTCTGAATCATTTGAAAATGTGGCTTATTATTATATTGCCCCAAGCATTATACAATCTTGATTTTATAAATTTGATTTAAAACATTCTCTGTTGGCATAGCGTAAGCGCTACTCTTTGTAATGATGTAAAAAATTTCTTTATGAACATAGTGTTAGAAATTCGGGCTTGAAAGATTAATTTTTGATTAATTTTCACAGATTCCCTAAAAAAATTTCTTGATTTCATCCCTTGTCAATAGTCCTTATAAAAGTGGATAATGGTCATCATTCTCATAAAAGCTCTAATGCAATTTTAAAAAAATTTTGTGAAAGTTTGAAATCAGTAACTCAGTTGAAAAAGTCGAAAGTAGAAAGAATGAGTTAGTACATCTCAAATTTTCAAAAAACGTCATAATACTGAAATAAATAAATAAATAAAAAAGGAAGTATGAAGGAAAACAAAAAATCGCTAAAATAAAAAATATCCCAAAATGTTCAAAAAATTCACTCTATGAGCAAAAAAGTCCAAAAAGATAAAAAAAATTGAAAAGTCATTTATCTGCGGGCTCTTAAACATAGTATTAAAAAACATTACATTCCTGGTAGGGTATAATCTATATAAAAATAAAAAAAAATTCCCAATTCCACGCACTTAATGAAATCAAAAATAAAAAAGGTTAATCAAAGTTTGTTTCTGGAGTAAAAGATAATTCAATCTTAGTACATTGTATCAATTTTTATCAGTTCTTGAAAAAAAAATCTGAAGACTTCTTCTCCTGATAAATTGTCCACTGTAATCCGAACACACTAAATATTATACCTATATGCGAGAACAAAAAGAAATGTATAAGTACTTAATCTATACTATTGCCTTTGACAATTTTATAGCTTTGTGTTTATATATTTTTATAACAACATGTTTAAAATGTAGTAGAAATATTTTTTTTTAGAATTTCTATTTCTTTTTAAGTAAATCATTTATAGAATTAATTTATTATCACTCAGGATTTTTTTTTTTTTTTTTTTTTTTTTTTTTTTTTTTTNTTTTTTTTTTTTTTTTTTTTGATTTACTAAATCATTGGTCCTGTTTTAAAATACTACTTCGTTTTCATTTTGATTAGATTCAAATTGATTCAAATAATCAATCACTGGACTTTGAAATTACATGATTTCCTCATTATAAGAACAATCACTTATCATTCATAAAAAAAAAATTCACAAATCAATGTTCTTGTCTTAAATTTGAGCTTTGCTTCTTATCACGATTTTAAAAATTGTTTTATCTTGAATGTCCTTTGCAATTGCAAGTGAATAGAAGTTACGAGTAAAAAACGAGTAACGCAAAATTTTCAATTCTCAAATACGGTTTTTTTTTCAATTATTAAATAGCATTTTCAGTACTTTATTTTCATCACAATTTTAAAAAAAAGGTTAGATCTTGAATGACCTTTGCAATTGCAAGTAAATGGCAGTAACGAGTAAAAACCGAGTAGCATAAAATATTTAATTCTCAAATACGTTTTTTTTTTAATCATTATATAGCATTTTCAGTACTAAACACTTGCTCTCATAAAATAACTTATTTAATTTAATAAATATGTATCAGGGGTCATCCACAAATGTTACTGCGTTTGAAGGGGATGAAGGGAGTTGGTGAAATAGTGATATATTGGAGACCGAGCGAAACAAAAGGTATCAAGAAGTGAGACAATGCATTTTGTTTACAATAAAAATAGTGAAATATTTAAAATCATAATATTAAATATTTTATAGCACTAGGTTGCCTAAAGGAAGTCATTTTGACTACTTTTTAACTGCTTTTTCATTTGCAAAAAATGTACAAATAATAATGCATAAATAAATAATTTGTTTCCAAGGGAAGTAAATTTTTTTATTGTTAATATTTACTAATAACTTGTTATATAACTGTAAATAATGTAAAAAATATTAAAAATTAATTAAACAAATTTCTTTACATATTAGTTATTCTTTCACAATGCAGTAAATTTGACTGTTTTTGAACAATATAGGTATTAAGTTTCAGTCTTTCTAGTGTTAACTCCCAGAAATTTTATATTTTTAGTAGATCCCTAATAATAACTAACTTTCGTGATATATAGGGGAGTGTCGGGTACCCCCACTGTCAATTTCATATGTATAGAATATTTTTTCAAGTCAATGGGCCATCGGACATTATTTGTTATATTAAAAAAAGATTATTTTCAAAGTTACAAGTATTTATGCAGCTGGTAACATGGTAAACAATAGTTTTGAAAATATGTTGAATACAGTAGTCATGAAATTAAGAAAAATTGGTTGAATGTTTCGATTAAACTTCATTTTAATACTAAAAAAATAATTTTTTCTATACATACAGCATTAAAGTATGTAGTCTTAAGTTTAATTTGCACAAAGAAAGAAGTTTATATGTGAAAAATTGTTCGAGTAATTACA